CTTTTGATGAATAAATTTCGTTCTGCTGATGAAAGACAATTTTAATTTTTTTGACGTTTATTTTAGTTGTTATTTAACAGTCATATTTGTAGTGATAATGACTGCCAATCTTAAAAACAAAAATTATGCTAGATCTATTATGAAGCTCAATTGAAAAATGTTTTTTATTCTTTAGGGATTTATTTTATTTGTTATTTGACCGTGAGGTTTGTAGTGATAGTGACTAGTAATCTTAAAAACAAAAATTATACTACCTCTGTTATGAAATTCAATTAAGCTACATCGTGATCAACGAGTATTGTATTAGTTGGCATCAATGAGTTTTGCTTACAGTTGGTAGACCTCTCATTCCACCTGACTTCTTGTGGTCAAAAGTGACATGGTTGACAGGAACAAATTATTAAAATATCATAACTAAACTTTCTTGAGCGCTTAAAAGTGCCAGTGTCAAGCATATGAATCAGGTTTGCCAATATCAGCGGAAATCAATTTTCTCAGATTTGATTAATTTTATTGCCAACTCAAATAGTACTTGTTGATTTGAGGTGTGTCAAGGCACTTAATTTAGGTGCTTTGACAGCTCTGTTACGAACATAAACTACAAAAAAATCTTACGAAATTTTTAAAATTTAGGGGAATTTTATTGTGGTTGGTTCGACAAATGTCAGATTGTAACATTTAAGTTTAAGTTTTCACATCAACAAATTATTATTAGCAATGTTTGAACCTGAAGACAATTTTACGCCCCCCGAAATACGGGAATTATCCAAAGTAGCACCCAGAATTTTTCGCCGATTAAATTTCGTTCTGTATACGAAAAATGCTTTTCATTCTTTAGACATTTATTTTATTTGTTATTTGACAATGATGTTTGCAGTGATAATGATCACCAACCTTAAAACAAAAATTACACTAGCTCTATTATGAAGCTCAATTAAGCTACATCGTGATCAACGAGTATTGTTTCAGTTGGTATCAATGAATTTTGCTTACAGTTGATAGACCTCTCACTCCACCTGACTTCTTGTTGTCAAAACTGACATGGTTGACAGGAACAAATTATTAAAATGTCATAACCAAACTTTCTTGAGCGCTTAAAAATGCCAGTCCCAAGCATATGAATCAAGTTTGCCAATATCAGCGGAAATAAATTCTCTCAGAATTGATTAATTCTATTGACAACTCAAATAGTACTTGTTGATTAGGGTGTGTCAAGGCACTTACTTTAGGTGCTTTGACAGGTCTGCTACGAACATAAACTACAAAAAATCTTACGAAATTTTTAAAATTTAGGGGAATTTTATTGTGGTTGGTTCGACAAATGTCAGATCGTAACATTTAAGTTTAAGTTTTCACATCAACAAATTATTATTAGCAATGTTTGAACCTGAAGACAATATTACGCCCCCCGAAATACGGGAATTGTCCAAAGAAGCACTCAGAATTTTTCGCCGATTAAATTTCTTTCTGTATACGAAAAATGTTTTCATTCTCTAGACATTTATTTTACTTGTTATTTGACAATGATGTGTACAGTGATAATGACTACCAATTTTAAAAACAAAATTACACTAGCTCTATTATGAAACTCAATTAAGCTACATCGTGATCAACGAGTATTGTTTCAGTTGGTATCAATGAATTTTGCTTACAGTTGATAGACCTCTCACTCCACCTGACTTCTTGTTGTCAAAACTGACATGGTTGACAGGAACAAATTATTAAAATGTCATAACCAAACTTTCTTGAGCGCTTAAAAATGCCAGTCCCAAGCATATGAATCAGGTTTGCCAATATCAGCGGAAATAAATTCTCTCAGCTTTGATTAATTTTATTGCCAACTGAAATAGTACTTGTTGACTTGGGGTGTGTCAAGGCACTTAATTTAGGTGCTTTGACAGCTGTGTTAGAACTAGAAAAAAAATTGATGAAATTTTTTAAATTTTGGGGAATTTTGTTGTGGTTGGTACAACGAATGTCAGATTATACATTCGAAGTTTAAGTTTTCACATCAACAAATTATTATTAACAATGTATGAACCTGAAGACAATTTAACCCACCTCGAAATACGGGAAATTGTCCAAAGTAGCACCCAGAATTTTTCGCCGATTAAATTTCGTTTTGTATACGAAAAATGCTTTTCTTTCATTAGACATTTATTTTATTTATTATTTGACAATGATGTTTGTAGTGATAATGACTACCAATCTTAGAAACAAAACATTACACTAGCTCTATTATGAAACTCAATTAAGATACAGCATGATCAACGAATAATGTTTCAGTTGGTATCAATGAATTTTGCTTGCAATTGGTAGACCTCTTATTCCACCTTACTTCTTGTTGTCAAAACCGACATGATTGACAGAAGCATATTATTAAAATGTCAGAACCAAACTTTCCTAGGCGCTTAAAAGTGACATAGTGCCAAGCATTTGAATCAGGTTTGCCAATAGCAGCGCAAAAAAAAACTCTCAGATTTTATTAATTCTATTACAACTCAAACAGTAGTTGTTGGTCACTCTGATGTGTTAGGCATTCAATTTGACAGCTCTGTTACGAACGTAAAGTAGAAAAAAAATTGAAAACATTTTTAAAATTTTGGGTAATTTATTGTGGTTGGTACGACAAATGTCGGATTGTAATATTTGAAGTTGTGAACAATGTATGAACCTGAAGACAATTTTACGTTCCCCGAAATACGGGAAATTGTTCAAGTAGCACCTAAAATTTTTCTCCGAATAAATTTCGTTCTGAATACGCAAAACAGTTTTCATTCATTTGACATTAATTTTGTTTGTTATCTGATAGTGACGTTGGTAATGACAATAATCACCAATCTTGAAAACAAAAATTACACTACTTCCACTACGAAATACAATTAACCTACCGGGTGATTATTAATGATTGAAGCAATTTTTTGGGTTGGCAGTTCTGAATTATTGGCAGGATGTCACTTCACAGTTTTCAACTTGGCAAAAAAATCACAAACATTAATAGTCATAGGGCACTCATTTTGCGTGCTTAAATGTTATGAATACAAAATAGAAAAAATGTCTTACAATTTTTTTTTTAATTTCTTGAACAAGCTGAAGACAACCTTATATAAAATATAATTTCGTTCTTTTGACGTTTTTTACTTAATTTATTATTTGACAGTGATATTTGTATATTGTATATTAATGATTGAATAAAGTTTTTGTATTGGCAATTGTAAATTATTGGCAGCAATGCTAATACGTCAGTCCACAGTTGTCAATTTTAACATGAGCGCGCCTAACAAACGTGTTGAGAAGATGACAGTTATACTGACTCGATGTCATAAATATATCAAACCACAACCATTAATAGTCACTATATGCTAGAACACTCAATTTAGGTGCTTTAAAAACTGGGTTTTGAAGTAGAAAAAATGTTTTGTTATGTCTGTGGATTAAGTTGCAAAAATTTTGACATTAATTCGTCTTTACCATTACATACACAAGAAATTTCACTTTAAATAAAAATTATTTCTGAAACAACAAGCTTGTGTTGGCTATTTCTTTTAGCGTTTAACAGTAAAACAATAACACAGATTCGCTAATTCTAAAAGTCGTTTTACAACGATAAAACTCTGTTTTGTTTTATCACCTACACAAGTGTGTTGATACTCTGCGTGTCTTGGTTGAAAAATATTTTTCGTGAAATATTCTCGCAAACATTACTCGGCCTGTGACGTTTTAATTAATGACAACTTCAATGAAATTTCATGCTCGAACACTTGACGTGGGTAGCTCTATTTGTGCAAAGTGGTTTTTGCAGATAAAAATCCTCAAGTTAAAGCCTTCGGGGTTTTATCAGAGCTTACGATTGTAAAACTGTCAGCCGGAATGAATGCTTGCAAAATTTTTACATTTTCTTCAGGTGTCATAGTTTCGGAGATAAACTGTAAAATATTAGTCAACATTCTTTAGTTTTTAGGATAACTCGTACCCTATTTTAAGTTGGTGGTAACTACAGATAAAAGAACAGGTAAAATTTTGACCTGACGTCATCAATTTTTATGAAGGGGATAAATACAAAACTTTATCGAGCGTTTCTTTCTCAACCAAATAGTTTTCTAGTGTATTTATCACGACTCCTCTCAGTGACATTTAATAAGATTTATTTGCAACGATGGCGCCGATTTCCTCAGGTAACGTTTATGCATTCATATGCGCAGTCACTATTTGAGGATGTACAAGTTTGTGTCCCGTATGTCATTGAAGTGGTTGTAATCTATTCATAATGCATTTCTAAGTGAGTTTAAATAGTATTTGCATTAATAAAAAGAGTTTGAACTGAACGAGAATACATCCTGCGGTCACTTTCAATATAAAATTAACATGAAAATACTCTTTAACCACAATGAAAGACTTCAGGAAAAGGAAAATATGATTATCATCGGATTACTTGTTATTACGTTGACATAAAAGGTGCTCGGCTACGTGAGAAGCTTGCACTTTTTTATTGTGCGCATATAAATCATTCTCCTAGTAAATGAATTAACAATGCCGTGCTGATATGATAGCAATGCGACTTGAATGCGAATTTCGTTGCACACAACTCGCCCACACGAAATTACGTAGTGGAGGTGTTTTATCTGTAATTACGTTCAGTGACCATTGTGTTTCCGACTTTCCAGATTTTCATGCACTCGTATCAGCATGTAATTAGCTCATTTCAGCGTTGTAATTGACCTCTGTTAGCGTCATGTGAACCGGTAATAAACACCCTGAACTCACTCCCTCATTAATGCGAAAAGTATCACGTCTTATCGAGAGTTGAAATCACCGAACACGTGTCCGCTTCAGTCGTACTTTACAAGCACTACTTCCTCTACATGTGGGGTATCAACCCGGTTGGCTTTTGTTTCACTATTCCAACTCTCACCCTTGCGTGGTACGCGTGTTCCTGATTGATTTTGTTTCGTGTTCGATTGTGGAGAATTGTTCGTTCAATGGGTTTATTTGTGTTGCAGGGATGCATCAGTATGGACGGTTTTCGAGTTATCTGCACCATCGTTGTAACAGTGGTGGCTTACGCCGACTTCTGTGCAGCCGGTAAGTGGGTTTAATATTTTTTATTAATTTAAAAGTTAATTCAGAAGGACATGGAATTTTATCCTTAGAGTTCGCGTGTCCAAGTGTGGTACCTACTTGGCCAAAAAAATAAATCTTAGGTTTACTGTATAGCGAATTGTTAACTCGAAGCGTTTCATTCGGCGGAATTCGTAGAGACAATTTAATCGAGTGTGACTTTACATAAAAAAAGATCCATAATAGGAATTAAAACTTCTCTGTTTTGTAACGGTGTTCAGAATGTCATTAATTTTTAAGGTCCCCAAGGCCTTAGTCGTTCGTTGTAATAAGATGAAAGATAGTGTCGAGTCCACTTATTTTCATAAATTTAATCCAGGAGTACTTTTCCCAGTCTAACAAACTGCAAACAAATAATAAATAATTTTTTGTTTATGACTACCTTTAACGTAAATTTTGTTTCCTGCTGGTGATGACCGGTTTGATGGTCGAAACTAGTCTTCAACAAATTTTATGAAATCAAGTGGACTCGACATTGTCTTTCGCCGTGTTACAATAGCGTTATCATGCTCTCGGCGAAGACCAAGGTCAGAGTTTTCTCAGAGATAATTGAACTTTTCCAAGGTGTAACTACGTAATTGCACCTTGAAAAGTTCGAGTATCTCTGAGAAAATTTTAGTTTTCCAAAAATCTATTCTGAACGAATTATTTCTTAGTGACCTAACTAATCTATTTCTGAAGACGCCTATTTGTGGCCACTTCGGAGCTACGTAATTGTTTGTAAGTGAAACTACCATTTTTTGGAAGTTTTTTTCGCATTAAAAATGTAGAGGTTCAATTTGTAATTTGAGTTCAAATTATTTTTAAAATAAAAAATCCACCACCTTTGAGTTCAGTTAAAAAAAAACTTCGTGTAGTTTTAGTTATTCTTAGTTTAGTACTACAAGGTATGAGAGCATCTTGGCACGGATTGTCAATTCCAAGTTTATGAATGAAATAAAATGTCAATAAAAATTAAATTAAACATAACCTTACATTATTTTGCACTAAAACCAGTACAACCAATCATTAAAACTGACCCGGGCAATGTTGTCAGTTGTGTTCTCGAAGAATTTGCGCTGTTTGTGGATTTTTGATTTTGGAATAATATTTTAAATTTGATTTATTCGTGATTTTTGCACGAAAAAATCAAATGTAATAAAAATAAAAAATGTTAAAAACATCTTTTAAATATTTGTTAAAACAATATGTTCATAATGGTTTGACAGTTTCAATAAGTTTTTACAATTGATCTTAGACTTCACAACTGATTGCTTTAGAATTTTATACACGCTTTAAGGTTATCCTGTCCACGTAAATACCTGATCAGAATTAATTTGTTCATCCATTCACAAATCTTCAAGAGGTCATTGCAAAATTTTGTCAGTCTCATTGAAAATGTTTAGAAAAGCATGTTTCTGTACACATAGTTTCTTTACATTTTTTTTATTGTTTTTATACAGGGGTATACCTTATTGAAGCCATTTATTGTATTCTTTTAAACAAAAAAGGGCTTATCTCTTGAAAAACTGCAACCCTATGACTATAGATAACATTGGTCAACAACCAAAATACTGCTTTAATAAAAATGTGTGCACTTAATGCAGTTTTTTATGTAGATTTCAAATCTGCTCTCCAAATTTTTCCATCACGTCACATTTTTGTGCTACACGTAATTTTATATCGTAAAATTGCCATTTTTCACATAAAACGTGCATCTGTACTGCCCTTATTACACGAGTTGAAAAAATCAGATTCGATGATTTAGTCAAGTAGGCATGTGGCACAATTTAAATGACATTTAGAAGTTACGTCAAAATTTTGCAAAATGAGTGTAATATTAAAAAAAGATCGCACTTACAATTGGTTTCACGAAAAACGGGACAAGATGAGTAAATCAGGTGCTCATAGATCGAAAAGCAATGGAAATATGACGTTTATGTCACTTTCATTTGTCCTGTTTTTTTTTTTTGAAACCAATTGTACATGTGTAAGAACAACCCTAATGTATTTTGTTACATCTGCGGTCAATATGCTATAAAATGTCAACGTCTGCATATCTCGCATATTATTAAATTGATATATCACCAATATCTCGGTCTCGCAGTAAGGGATCAGGATAAACAATGGGAGATTATTGTTGGTTCCTGCAAACGGAGTGTTCATCGAATTGTTACAGTCGTTAAGCAAAAAGAAAACGATTTTAAGCATCTAAAATTAATTAAAACCATTTATTCAAATCCTTATAAATAAAATTTGATAATTATTTCATAAAAATTATTATTATTGGGCAAGGTATTATTTTCTTGAAAATTGTTAAAATCGTGTTTTTTCGTATTTCGGACTCCAATAAAAATTAAACTAGACGTGCACAAACGGCAAAAATCATTTTTATAGAAGTTTTAGGATACAAGGAAGTCATTTATGCCCAAAAGACAAAAAGCGTATGACTGCGATTTTTTTTTGTAGAACAATTATATAATTGTTCTTTATTGTCAATCTTTTTCTTCATTCTTATTTTATTATTATTAAATATTGACGGGAGCAACAATAGTGTATTCTCAAGTTTTCCAGAAAATAGGGTGAGGATTCTTGATTTGATTAATACAAAAAATTGTGTCAATCGAATCAGCGACTTTCGCGTTAATTAATTCAATATTTTTAGGGCACAGGCACCCAGCACGTCAGTGCTCTTATAATATTGGTCTAAAATATTATGATGGAATTTGGATTTTTGTGCGAAAATCTCAATGTCTCGGGTAATAAATGAAGGCGGATTCATAAACCATAAGTATGGGAGTATGTTATTTTCTAAAATTTAAATGACATTTAATAAAAAATTGAGGGGACGTTATCATCTATACGACATTTCTTACATATAAAATTTGACAATAATCGGTCCGGTAGTTTCGAAGATTATCTGTAATATTAATCGATATAACGATAGACAGGCAGACAGACTGACGGAAACGACGACCTATTTTTTCGTATTCAAGGGGTCATGTAACGTCGAAAAAACGTGAAAGTCACCAGTCGTCCGATGGACAATATTACTGAGAGAGCAATAAAAACAATCAAAGACGGCCATGAATTTTGGTCTTGTCAGATTACCTGCCGTCAAGTTGAAAATTGAATTGAAAATGAAATGAAACTTCCAAAAATCTATGGCTGCATCGTGTCTTATATTGCTTTTTCGAATTCGATCATCAGCATCAGCAACTCGCTAATTTCTTGTTTTCTCGACTTCATAATTCCTAGTGTATGAAAAAAGGGGTTTCGTGTTTCCGTCTGTCTGTCGTCTGCGTCGATTTTTATTAGACAGATAATCTCCGAAACTACTGGATCGGTTGTCGTCAACTAGGATGAAGAATTCTGAATTGCTATATTTTTATCAAACTTTGTTCCATATAGATTAAAATTTAAATTTGACGTTAGAAATTATTTTGATTTGTAAGTTGTTATATATGTATTAGTTTACTTTGTTGTGTATTATACGTTATATTACTTCCTTCAAGTAGTTTGCTTTAGTTTGTAGTTTGTATATAATTATTAACTTTCAGAGAATACTTCGTTATAAAATTGTACGTTTGTAAAATGAAGTTTTCGTTAATAATCAAATTAAAATTAAAATTGTATTAGAAATATTATGTGAATCGCAAAACGCTAACCAAAATTTGCTAATCATCCCCACCAACAATGGGTTGACGCCATTTTCAAAATTTACAATAGTAAATGTTATTTAAATTTGATGGAATAAGGTACTCCTATACTTTCAGTTTATGAATCCGTGTTGAGTTTTCACCCTAAATTTCCAGATTTTTGCAAAAAAAAAACATCAAAATTGTATAACACTTAGCAATTTAAATTTGAAACTGCTAGATCGAATGTTCTGAAAGCATATAAGTGTTTTAAGGTCATCGTAACCATTCTAAATCGTTAATTAAAATTTTTCTGTTTAACCCCTCTTAAAAAAGTGATGACGTAATTTCAAAATTTTACTGAAATCCCAAATATGTAAAATATTGCAAAATATTGGAACAGTTGGTGTAGTGGTTTGTAAGATAAACTGTTTTTTTTTTTGAGCAATATTGAATTTCTTATAAAAATTTTGGATTGTGAAAATATACATTGAAATTTTAAACAGGATTTACTTAATAAAATTTTGACATGGCGTCATCAAATTTATCGAATGCATACATTTCAATTAGCAATTTACCATGTTACGATAATCTTCGGAGCAGTCGATTATGTATTTTTTTGCATGCACTTTTAAAATTTCTCGTATAATTAATAAAATCCAAATTTTCTCCAAAGTAAGAAATACGGGCGAAATATTAAACAACTTTATGAAAATTGCATAAGACAACAAAATTTTAAGGCGATTTGTCAAATTGTTGAGAATGAACAAACAAATTTCCATTAGCATTTAAGCATCTATATACTCCCAACAGACGACAGACAGACGGAAACGGGGGACCTACTGTTTCATATTCTAGGAGCTACGGAAAGAACGCCCAGAAAATATATTTAGTCGTTCTTTCGAATGCTTTTTCTTTTCTCACTCTTCTCCGACTCAGTGTTATCAAAAGTTCTCTTGTTATTACATATTAAAAAGTTTTGAAAAATCTTGTATCATATATAATGAACAGTTCAGGATGTAGTAACAGTAACTTGGTATAGATAGTTCGTTAGTCATATTAAAATTTAACCTTATTTTTTGTACCTTAAATTTTTCTTTTTTTTTGCAGACCGCGAATTCATGGTGTCAAAGGCCCACTCCATCGCCGTGTCTATTAACTTCGAAACAAAACTTGAATGCGAGATGAACATCCAACCCGATAACTTCCAGTGGAAATTCTATCCACTCAACAAAAAAGAAGCGTATAATCCAAAGGCTCGAATCAGTTTGACCACGTCTACTTTCCAATTTGTTCCTCCCAGTAAATACGAGAACACGAATGCGAAAAAAATGTCTTTACTCACCTTACAGGTAATAAGCGGATCTCTGAAACTGTCGTCTCATTGAATCAACTAGAAGTTTCTTTTGTTGCAAAGAAACGTTCTCAATGTTCGCCCAATTTAAAACGTTGTTCGAGAAACCGTCGAATCATCGTTATTCCTCTCTTTCAGGCTGATTCCAACGAAATAGCCGGCGATTATCAATGTCTTGCCCATTACGGAGCCTCCGTGGTGGCGTCGGTCCCTTGGCGAGTGACAATAGCGAATTTAAACGAATTTCACTACCAGCCAAATGTCAGCGCAACCGTGGTGGCAGGAAACACGGTCAACTGGAGATGTAACCCACCGGTTGCCAATCCAGAACCCTACGTGGATTATTTCAGGAACCGGGACTACTTTAAGTCTTTGGTGCCGCTGTCAACGAAGTCTCTGGTGATACCAACCGTCGGAACGGAGCATTCTGGAGATTACACGTGCAGGGCCGGCAACGTTGAGCGAAAACTGAATTCCAGTGTGGTTTTCAGTTTGAACGTGGTGAGAAATGGACCCGTCGAGCAACCGAGGTTCATCATGAAACCTCCGGATAGCTATAACGTGACCAAAGGGGACACAGTCTTTCTTGAATGTGCAGCCGTCGGAAATCCGGTTCCGAAAGTCTTCTGGACGAAGAAAAGCGGCGTTATTCCAGAACATCGTAGCGAAATGATTTACGGTGGATTGAAGATACGCAATGTTTCTAGTAGTGACGGGGGTGTGTATGAGTGCGTGCATAAAAACAAACAAGGGATGGTTTCTCATTCGATCACTTTATTCTACAATGAACCCCCTAGTGTAAATTGTTTACTCGACACGACTGATATTCCGGAAGGTGAGAACTTAGATCTAGAGTGTGCCGTCACTGGTGTCCCGAAACCGGAAATCAGTTGGTTTTTGAACGGTTTTGTGGTGACCAAAGATCGGAATATCACAACCCATGGAAACAAAATCTTTTTCAAACCCGCCCAGAAGCGTCACGCGGGGAATCTCCAGATGTTCGCGCGGAACGATATAGGAACTGTTTATCGTAGTATTTTCGTTAAAGTCATTCCAATATCAACCACAAACGACAATGGTGGTGAGGCTGCGGTGGTGGATCCTACACGTAAACCTACCAAGCACCGGAAAATGGTACCTCCTTCGAAACCCACCATTTCTCGGATTAGCGACGAAGCTGTGCTTTTGCGCTGGTCTGTACAATCGAAAGGGTTACAAATAAAGTTTTTCAAAGTACAGTACAAAGATTTGGGATCAGCGAATCAACACCCACCGCATAAAGGGAAAGCGTGGATGACGACGAATGCGGATATAGAACCACACATTACAAGCTACGAAGTTACAAATTTGAAGCCCGAGCACTGGTATAGATTTAGAATTGCAGCGGTTTATAGTAACGACGACAACAAGAACAGTCCCAACTCGGACAGATTCTTCTTAAAGAAGCTAGATTTTGACAATCGAAATCCTGCGCCAGTTCCTATAATTACAGATGTGGAAACGGTCAATTCGACGTCTATTCAAGTCTACTGGACTGTAAGTGGGTTTTTCGGGATACTTTAAATTTTTTACTTTCTGTTTCTAGTTCGCTCCTTCGCCGAATATCACAGTTGAGGGATTTCACATAAATTATAATTCCGCAAGTAGTGCTGGTCCCTATAAGATAGCCACAGTTGATGGTCCTAATACGACTTCGTACGTTTTGTCATATCTCCAACCGGACACAGTATACGACATTAAATTACAAAGCTTCACTTCGAAAGGAGCAAGTCATTGTAGCCAGATTAAGCAAGTCAAAACTCTTGGTATTTACTTAATAGTTCACTTAACGACTTAATAACGTCTTTTTTATATAGGTGTCAGTACTACAACAGTAGTACCTCCAATGTCATCCACAGCTGCTAATATAGAAAGCGCCGGATTTAGTAAATTATACATATTTATAGCCGCAGGGGTTTTGGGAGCTTGCGGAGTCATCGGTGCCGTAGTCGGTATATTACTATTTTGTCGAAAATCCAAACAGAAGAAAAGCGGCAATAGAGGTGAGTTTCGTTCGACTTTATTTTATTAGTTGGTATTCAAAATTCACTAGGTGTAGACGACCATCACATTCAAGCCGACGGCAACGAATATGTGGTCGGTCCGAAGGGTGTACCGAGATCCAATGGTTGTCCCCCTAGCAACCGAATTAATATTACAGCTAATCCGTTATCGGACGCAGACAACAAGGTGAGGTACATAATCTATTGTTCTTCATTTTCATAAGTGTCACCTTTATTGGTTTAGTCGGAGTTTGAATTTTGCAACGAAATTTTTTTGTGTGATGACAGGTTGCAATCTTGTAGCACATCCAAAACAAGTGTAGTAGGACATGAAATTTGTTTTTAAAATAGTAATGTTGGCAATACGTACCTTGTTCGGTTTGACAATTACGATTAAATAACTGTCAAATCACTGCAGTCCCAACATTATTATTTTAAGAATAAATTAATTATATGGCCGCTGACACAGTTGACAAATAATAATTAAAATGTATTTAGCGTTAATTTTATTAATTTAGTTCATTTATAATTTCTATGTTGCGCTATGTTTTAGCACGATCTAGTAATACCCGCGATTTTTTACCATAGGTCGGCCAAGTTGCGACATAGCTAATATCACCGACAGAGTCGTCTCCATAAAATCAGCTATTTTCCGATCTCTCGTAGGTGCAGTAAAAAGCTTAAGCGAAAGTATTGCTTAGTAAGATATGACAGCCGCTTATTTCGTTTGCCGCCGCTAGTTCAAACTTCTGCTTAGACTAACTACTAATAGCCGTTTTTGCTTATTGTTTGTACTTTTATTTATTTATCTACTCACAACTAAAACTAGGTTAATTTCATCTTATTTCCAGAAATTTCTAGCTCGGATTTTTTCCAGAATCAGAACATGATTGAAATGTCGTGTTTATCATCCCAAAACAACAACTGTTCCGCTGTTCAGCCGTCGGTCAGTGGTGAAGATTCGCCGTCTAACTCCAGAGATAAAAAAAATAAAAGTCGTGATAAACGTATTCGAAACAAACATAGCGGTGATTCGAATCCATCAGGAGAGAATTTTGTTTAGTGTGATTTAATTGGACCTAAAATTTGTCGATAAATCGTGCCTTAATAGAAGACTGATTGCATACACTGTGCCTTCTGGAAAATGAAGAAACGTAATGGAAGAGCATTCACCAGAAATGACAATAGTTTAAGTAGTAATCGGTAGTTCGAATTACGTTGTACATTTGCGATTTGTAGTACTTATTTGACCTAATGTTACAACTTGCCTTTGTAAATATACATTTGTACATAATTTTATTAATTAATGAAATAATGTCAATCGAGTGATCCTTTTTTAATTATTTAACTTATTTTTTTGTACTTATAATTTTGTAGTTTCGTAGGTATTAAAATGATGATTAATTTTCAGTATTAATTGCAAGATTCTGGCAGCTAAAGGTGTCCACTTCCTCTGACGTTGTCATGCGTACTTTTACATGTTTGTAAAAGTACAAACGTAAATTGATATTTTATAATCATGATCAAAATTTCAAGCGCTTTAGTTTTTACCTTAAAAAGTGGATCATAACCGTGCAATATTGTAATTATCTACAGCATCATGGGAGAAATTTTAACAGTAATAAACTCAAAACTTTAATTTCAGTTTTTCTGGTACCTAGAGTAGTCACTTTATAGTTTATTTAACTGTTTTTAGTTTCTTAATTTTTGTATATAGTAAATAATGTGACACCGTTGTAACACATTTTCAGATCTGATATTTTTGTACAGACTTTTTCATTGTCCTGCAGCTAATTAAGCTAGATACTTTTATATTGTAATAGTACAAACTGGATTCTGTTTTACGCTATTTATTTTTTCCGCTTCCCTAAAATAACAACCTGTATACCACTAGAAAATAAATAATCATTCATCATTTAAAAGTGCATTTTATTGTAATAAAATTCCAGCTTTTAGATGTTATCCATAATTTTGCTTCTTAATACCGTAATTAAGATCGTAACAACACAGAACGGATTAAATGTTGCATGTTACAATCACTCTCCTGGATCACAGGAAATTAATAACTTAGGCCGTTTTCGACCAACTGGTAAGTGTCGGATGCAGTCAGATGTGACAACACCACGACTAGAGTTACTATGTGTTATGCTAAGACAGAAAAATTGGTCTAAAGAGTTTAGACAGTACTTCCTTCGCTGTCGGAAACTTGACGACTGCATGCCTATTGTGTTTTTTTTCTCATTACATTTTTGTAGTGGGAATTTAAAAAAAAATTGTGATGACGTCATCAACATTTTTGCAAGGACACGTATATCAATTGGGATAGATGTAGTGTAATACTAAGAAAAAAATTATTGTATTCCCAAATTTTCGGGAAAATGAATTGGGTCGTTTTGAATATTGATTTCTTATAATCAATAAAATAACGAAACAATTTACTCACGTATACGGCGCCGGTGTGTAATATCTAGAGAGCGGATTTCTGTCGGGCTAGGCAAGGCCAAACTCGGTACGGCTCGTACGGGATGCGAATTCATTGCGGTTGCGGACTGCACGTCGTTTATTTGAGATTAGAATAACGCTGTTTCGTTGCACTCTGCTGTTAATTCCCGTTCTCATTTACTTAGCCGTTTGATTAACAAATCGTTAATTATATTTATGGAATTAGTACCGATTAAATTCAGTGATTATCTATCAACCGGCGATCCAGCACGTCCCCCCCTATAATCGTGACGTAGCCCGATAGAAATCCGCTGTCTAGTAATATGAGGGGCAACTGAAAATCGTTTATGTATAAACATTCTTAATTTAAGATGACAAGCGTAACAATACGTGAGAGTCAAACAGAGAAACTGCAAACAAAACGACCATCGGTTTTATTGCTTCGACTTCCGCTTATTATATAAAACATTGGGTTTTATTTTAAAATAAAACCGTCAAGAATTAATTCTTGACGGTGAAATTCACAATTGGTTGATTATAAACATGTCTATTCCACATTCGCGGAACCAAGTGAGCGCATAAAACAAATGCAGGTCTGTAATGTTAAAGTCGATGTAAATAAGCGTGCTACCCTTATGTTTCAACCGAGTTTTTCCTTTAACAAATTTTGTGTCTACCAAATTGGGTTGGTTGGGGTGTAATACTAATAATAAGTGTTGCCTTTAATTTAATCAATAAAATAAATTGACTTCATTAATTTTTTTGAACCACCTCTTAAGAAAATCTAAAAAATATGAATGGAATGATAAATCACAAGTACAAACTCATCATATTTTTTGCATTTTAGATAGGATTTATTCAGCAAAATTTAAGGGTGACGTCATCAATTTTTTTAGGAGGGATGAACAAATACATTTTGAACAAAAGTTTACCATGCTTATAATAACTTCAAAGCATTCGGTTTTGTAATTCCTGATTAAATCGATAAAATAAATTCACGCATTCATTAATTTTTTTGAGTCACCCTGCATATGCAAATCCAAAAATATGAATGGAATGATAAATCACAAGTACAGACTCATCATATTTTGTACATTTTAGATACGATTTATTCGGCAAACTTTTGAGCTGATGTCATCAGTTTTTTGTAGAAGATAACCAAATATATTTTGACTAAAAATGTATTATGCTCTTTATAACCTTAAAACATCTGCAAGATTTCAAAGCATTCGGTTTTGTAGTTCCTGATTAAATCAATAAAATAAATTTACGCATTAATTTTTTTGAGTCACCCTGTATATGCAAATCCAAAAAATATGAATGGAGTGATAGATCACAAGTACAGACTGATCATATTTTGTACATTTTAGATATGATTTATTCGACAAATTTTCGAGCTGACGTCATCAATTTTTTGGAGGGGATAAGCAAATATATTTTGACTAAACATTTATTATGCTCTTTATAACCTTAAAACATCTGCAAGATTTCAAAGCATTCGGTTTTGTAGTTTCTGAGTAAATCAGTAAAATAAATTTACGCATTCATTAATTTTTTTGAGTCACCCTGTATATGCAAATCCAAAAAATATGAATGGAGTGATAGATCACAAGTACAGACTCATCATATTTTGTACATTTTAGATATGATTTATTCCACAAACTTTTGAGCTGACGTCATCAAGTTTTTGGAGGGGATAAGCAAATATTTTTTGACTAAAGATTTATGATGCTCTTTATAGCCTTAAAACATCTGCAACATTTCAAAGCATTCTGGTTAGCAGATTAAAAATTAAATTTCAAAATGTTGTTTTATAATTTTGATTTTTTTCCAAAAATCTGGACGTTTCGGGTGAAAAGTCGATTCGGAGTTGTAAACTACATGTGTAGGACTATATTATTTTATACAATTGAAAACCCATTTACTATGTACAATTTTGAAGTGACGTCATCGCATTAGTGGTGGGGATGATTAGACAAATTTTGGTTAGCGTTTTACCATCTACATGATATTCTTAATATAAGTACAAAATTTCACAACAATCGGTCGAGTACTTTCGGAGATTATCTGTCTAATAAAAATCCGGGACGGCAGACGGACAGACGGACGGACGGACTGACGGACGGACAGACGGACAGACAGACGGACAGACGGAAATGGGAGACCTATTTCTTCGTCTTTTAGGGGTCATGAAAGATCGAAAAAACGTAAAAGTAGAGAGTCGGCCGACGGACTCGATTACAATACTTCCTTTGCTTACGCTCGGGAAGTAAAAATCAGGGCAAACTGGATTTGCTCTATTTTTACTGTTCAATTAATTATATAGACTCTATACTGAATTCGTTAGCGGCATTTTTCATTAGTAAAGAGCGGATTTATATGCACAAATATTTGTCAAAAAATGCGCATTATATGCAAAAAATTTTTTCGAAATATGCACAGTTTTATGCATATATACAGTTTTCTACCGGCGGCGCGGAAAGAAGGAACAATAAACTACAAACAAAACACGAGAAATGTCTATAATTATATTTATTACCTATAACATATTTTTATATAAAACATAAATACGGCATGAACTATACTTCTGTCCACTGTCTGTTTGCAATTTTATTAAGTACATATGGAACTATGGAACTGATGACTTTGAAATTTTGGCTGCAGTTTAAAATTACACGATACATAGTTTTAAAATTTAGTTTTAAATTTTTGACACAGTAGTTGTGCTTGAATAAGAGAAGTATCAACTATACACTAAACGTGCATTGCATACCCTAAAATTTTATAATTTATGAGGGGTTGGATGTTATATAGTTATTACTATCACTATAACTTCAGATTTTGTTATCAGGCAATCGGTAACACTATAATACATATACATATTATGCAGTGGCGGCTCGTCAGATGAGGCAAGTGAGGCGGCGCTTCACGGCATATATCTTAAGAACAGATTGACTTAATTTATAATTAAAAAAGAGTTTTCAATGCATTTTTAGTTACAAAAATATGTTAAAATGGGAAATCTGTACATGATTTTTTATTTTTTACGCTTCCTGCTGACATTTTTCGTTGAATACCGTACGATTTATGCTCCTAGTTCTTTAACTGAAGCGGCCAGAACGTCGGTTCACTTGAACCAGCGAAGCCCAATCACAGACACGGATTTCCATGACTCAGCTCCCATACTCCTATACATGCGTTCGCTCGGAACTGAGGCGATATCTTCGGTGCTTCTCGGCCAATTTCGGCGTACTCATGAAACCATTTTTCCATTTATTTTACAGAACAGTAGGGTTGCGGGGTGCGTGGGTAATTAGCATGAACGTGAATAAAAACCCACGTGTTGGTGTTTTGTGTTATTGTCTCTTTCATAGGTATAGGTGAGTGAAAAATGAATCCCGAGTACGATATCGTCATGTTGCTTCTTGAAACGCCGTTTTCACGGCGAACCGAGCTAGAACGTCGGCAAATTTTGCTAAATATCGAGCAGTCAAAACCGTTAATTCATTTAACTTCCATTGATAAGCGACAGAATCGTCAGTACTCCAAGTTTTTTAAATCAACTTGGTACCTACGAAACATATAAATGGCTCTGCCGTAATATTTACACAATATCCCAGGATATAACAATTTAAAGAATTTCATCCGAAGTGCAAAATTACATGAAAGGTCCAAAGTACACATTAAAAATTTCATGGGCTTAAAACGTTTAGAAAAGAACACAGCAACTATTCCCGAATCCCTCCAAGAAAGTGCTACTTTCAACAAAATTTTGACTTGTAAAAACATTGTTGATTCAATGTGTTATGGGTGTTATTATTATTATTATTATTATTATTATTATTGGGGCCTACCACTGATCCGGGAATGACCGGTATTCAGGCAAGACTTCTATTATTACTAACTAGGATGACCAAGTAATATTACTATTATTGTCAAACTTCTATCATCGCCTCACCACATCAGACAGTCACGAGCCGCCACTGATATTATGATTAACACGTTATTTTTGTGTGGTTAGGCAGCCAGTTAAATACATTTCTCGACAATGTATCGAACGAAAGACATATTTTCATATTTAATAGTCTTTTAACATTTCTGGCACCAGTTTTTAGACCTAATTTTAGTATTATGATTACTCTAATAAATTGACCGTAATGAAGGAAGCAATTGTAAGCAAATACAGCAAAACTGATTTAATTGTTTATAATGTGTTAGGTACGTAGTGGAAATTGTATGTACAATATGCACAGAAAATTTACCCTCAACACGCTTAAGCGATTAATTGAAGTAAAATCCACACAGCAGTCTAGAAACTTTTAATATCCCACGAAATCTGATAAAACTACAACGTGAGCATTTACTGCTAAAGTAAAAGTTGCATGCGACCGTAGTGCATAAGAGATAAGGTTAAAAATAATTCAGTCAAGACACGGTCATAGACGAGGTTTTCGTGCACATACCATAAATTAATCTAAAGCAAGGTCTTCAGATAAACTAGAAGCCAATTACTTACTGATCAAAAACAATAAATGGAGCAGTTACCTGTCCTCACGCAACTTTCTTTTTCACTGTAAGTATTTAATTCAATGTAGCTTTTCCTTACTTGACCATATTTATTGCATGGATGGAATAATTTGTTTAAACACTCCCGCTATGAAAAACTAGAAAATAAAACAAGAAGTCTTTCCAGTAGTAGTTGGGTTATTACTAGTACTAAGTTTAACTACAGCAAATGTTAGGTATGAATGATGCTTGATTAGTATCTCTTGGCTCTCTGGTAGCTCTTTCTAGGCTTTTCATTCTGTTCGTTATTATTGGTATGCAACACATAATACTAGATTTTAAAATATATAATGTCGCATCAACAATTTGATGACGCCATCTCAAAATTTTCGTTGGTAAATGCTATTTAGTTTCATAAAATAATATACTCCTGTATTTGTGATTTATGAATCCGTCTAGACTTAACCCCAAGCATCCAGATTTTCGCTCAGAACAAACAAAATTGTATAATAATGCTTGATAATATGCCTTAGTTCATTGCATCGTGTGATAATAAGGTCGGGAGTTCGGTTCACTCATGAGCGACTTTTTACATTTAACTTATAGGGATTATAATAAAATGAATAACATTTCGCAAAAACAAATTTTAACCTTTTTTTTTTCTGAAGTAGAAATTCCTAATAGTTGTCCAGTCGGCTGCCATTCATAGTGTGAATGAAACTCAGAGATAGAGATCGTCACGACACCAATATCTACCTACACCAACGATGATTATTATGTTGTGTTTATGTTGTATAACGCGACATTATTAACATTTAATATCACTGGTGTGACAACCCAAACAACCCACCTTTAATTGACATGTGAAAAAAAAATTGAAAGCCTGCGAAAAATGAAAAAATTCAAAAATTTAGCCTCAACTGTGATCGTCTACAAAATTGAACCTACGTTGTGTGTTTTTTTCTGTGGCGGAATGCGTTCAGATGCAAGTGGTGGACCCTAAGGTGGGAAAAATACCGCTAAATATAACACAAAATATATGGAGGACACACGTTATAGCACGAGCGGAGTTTGGGGCTCCTGGTCGTGGCTACTCTCCTACCCACGACGATGATTCTATTCTGTTGCAAGCACTGCCGTCCAGCACCCCTCTATCACGAAAAAACGTGCCTGAACGAACAGGCCGTTACGGTGGCAAACTCCTAGTTAGCCACCAATAGTCTCCGCTATTGGGTCACCAGCGTCACATCATCTCGACGGTCCGTGACTTTTATTCTAGCCCTGCATCCTTTGTGCAGATGGCGCGACCGCCAGCTCGCCAAAGAACCGCGCACTCCGCTTTCGCTACGTGTTGTTGTGTTATTTATCTCAATTCCATTTTAAATGTTCACTTTCTATAACTCTGATATTAAACTACAACTGAACAAGTGTTAAAGTTTCAAACAACATTTAAATTCGCCATACACTCTTGTGAAATTTGAAACACAAAGAATTTTTATCTGAGATTAAGATTGGACAGCAAACAATTTATATGATGGAAACATTAAGCAACAAAATATTTACATGAAAAAAAACCTGGCAAGGATTTATAAAAACAGAAAAAGATCTGGTGTGAAATAAAACTTGTGCGGACAAAAATATTACGTGAGTTTAGGTACTGCAGAGCATGAAAATTTACGTTCAACCTTAAATTATACAGCACAGAAAATTATTGAGGCCAAAATTGTGAGATAGAAAAAACTTGTATGAGGTGAAAAATTGCAAAGCTAACAAAATTACTGGAGGTTGATTGTGGGCATTCCCCCAAACGAACACATAAAACACATAATAGCAGGCAATCTGGAGATTCAAAATGGCGTTGGACAAATGCGTCTTTACAAAAAAAATGCGCCAAAAATGCGATCTAGAAATGCGATTCATCCTGTGGCGTTGTGCAAATAATGGTCTAAATCAAAGGAATAAAATGCACGAGATTTTACAGTTCAAACATGTGCTCGGTTTGAAAATACTTTTTCAACATGGCCGCTGTCGGAACAAAGAGTTTACCTGATGTTAAATTATGCCACACTTTATCAACGATGCAAACAAAGAATTTACGTTATGTTAAATGATGTCTCGATCCAAGTGACTGATTACTTAAAACCATTGGCTTTGAGAGTTTACATCGCGGACTGTCCCCAGCTTATCCCAAACAATCACGTGATAAATAAACACAAAATGCATCCTGCGTTGCGAGAAATATGCGTCTCGGTGATGGAATTTTCAACGTTGCGAGAAAAATGTCTCGGTGATGCTTGCCTAAGGGGAGAAATTTTTAATCCCCAGGTACCTCAGTCCACGATATTATGAATGTACTTTCACCTTAGAAATAATATTATATGGAAGTAACTTAGAGAGAGACGCGCGTTGTCAACACAGTGGGACAGAGATAGGGCTCTTTGGGTGGCAAAACATTGACGCGAAACTGCAGAGCACTGGGTTTTTGGAGCTTTCTTTCGTGCTGTCGCATGGTGTTTGAAGGTGTATTTTTACAAATTTACGATTTTTAGGCTCAAGGTACCTTATTTAAATGTCTACAGTCTTCTTAAGTTGTATTTTATCGGACTATTTGTTAAACATCGTGAAATCGTGTTGTGCTTATTATTGCATAGAACGTGCAAAGAAAGCAATCCTGTTTCATTTCGTAGGTAATAATCACATACACAGACGAAGGATTTCGTAAATAATTTAAAAATTTTGTTAGATTCCCTAAACATTCTGAGTTACGAAAAAACTGATTAATGCTACAAAAAAAGGGAATTTTATATCTATTGATTATTATTGTTTTAGTTATTTGTACATGGATTTAGAAAATAGATTTTAGTACAAAATTCCACACAATTTAAGATGTTTAACTTAATTAGGCATACTGTCACTTTTATCGAAACTTTAATTAATTACTTTTATCCTAAAAATTTCAGAATTACCAATGAACATACACAAGATTAGTTAACTTGTAGAAGATTATTGTACTAAGTGAATTCGTAATATATTGCAGATTCTGTATACATACAATTTTATTAAAAGACTATCTCCACCACTTAACATGATTTTTGTTGTTTCACATTACACATTATTTTAATTTAAACTGTAAAAATATAGTTTTCATTAATAGACGTTTGTTACAATTGATTGTTTGAACAAATTCGCAAGAAAACGTATTAATTCCCGTTCAAATGAAGCGTTTCTTGCCACCCAGCACGTGATACGTGGTCAGCCGTCCTTTCCCCACTGATGTATAACCGCTACAGCTATTTCTTTCTTATGTTGATTACACTCGCTCGCGTATGGAAACGTATACAAGGCTCCATCCACTCCTTTATTAGATCAATGACTTTCACGATCCTTTTCCCAAAGTGGGACAACGTCAGATTGATTTAACTGCCGTAAATGAACTATTAGCAATCTTGTGTGAGAAATTAAGAAGTGTTAAATGTAACACTTAAGTATAAGCATCCAGAAATCTTATTCATAATTTGATAAACAAAGCATGAGCGCTGACTAAGTGAATTTCATGAAAACTCATATTCATTACTTTTATCTGAACAAACTTATGACTGTTAAATTGTGTTAGAACTAGTTACGGATTAAAATCCTAACATGGACTGTGAATTTACAAAGAACAAAACAAAGTTACACCACGTGTTGGCGTCGGTCGAAAAAATCGCAAGAATTAGCTACGTGTGTTGGGGAAACTGTGGCTTCGTCGTCGTTACGATTAATTTTCGTTAAACAAAGGCTTCTTCCCTTTTCTAACTACCAAACCAATGGACTTACCCTAGCTAACTTAACGCGTGTTTCACTCACCAACAAACAAAAAAAAAAAAGTGACGCGTCACCTATCCTGTACCAAGCAAGTAAACTTCACTACCAACCCTCTACCTACACAAAAAAAAATCCCTAGGAGAGCTACAACTACCAGAAAAGAAATAAACATGCACATGGTTGTCTACGTTTAACGATTTTCTTGATTGCATTTTTTTTAAATTGAAATGATTCAAATGCGATTTCGCGCTGTTGTTTTTTTTTCAGCTCGAAATTTTAATTCAAATCTGGTCACCACACTGGATTTGAAGTGTTAGATCGGTAGTAAATAAGTATATTCGTTTTTGTGTACCTACTAATTGTAACTGAAAGCCGATCCACGAATTTATCAATTTTCGTAAACACATATGTACTTAATTTGAACCGCGGAAATTATCAAATACATTCGTCATTTTGCCACTTTAAGATCACTGAAAAAGGGAGAAGTCAAAGTGCAATAATTTTAACATGATAATGATAAGTTGATAACGCAGTTTATTTTATTTTTGTTTTTTATTTAAGTTAATAATTCTAATACTGTTTACTGCTGTGTAAAACACGACGATAAGTATATAACTTGTTGAAATTTATGTAATTAGACGAACGACTATAAGGAAAAAATAAAAAACTAAAACTATAAAACTATTGCAGGATGTGAAAGATATATGCACATGAAAATATGGTCATCACTCATAATAATCAAATGCATAACAATTTATACTAAAAATTATTGTACAAACACTAACCCAAAGGTTATCGTAAGTAATAAAAAACATTGTATTTTATTAAATGCAATGAAATGCACTGGTGAAGATGGAATTCACTTCTTCCAAATCTATTAGCAAATACTTACCACATGACAAACAAAAATGCAGCCAACCAAAACAAACATATTTCTTTATTTGGTAGCCATTTTGGGTAAGTGTTGATATAATTTTTAATACGCTATTTACTAACAACCATTTTTTACCAGTGAATTTATTAAGTTTTTCGATTGGAGTTTCAATTACTTGGATAACGTCTGTGATTCCTAAAGTAGACGGGAGTACAATAACTGACGATAATCCATTTGGGCGACTTCTTACAGCTTCCGAAATTTCCTGGATTGCTGGATTTCTGCCCCTAGGTGCAGCAATCGGTCCTCTGGCAGTCGGAAAAATCTCCGATAAAATAGGAAGAAAGAAGAGTCTTTTGATACTAGGTTGCGTTAACATTTTATCTTTAGTGATAACAGTATTTGCTAAACAGACTGTTTTATTTTATATTTCTCGGTTCTTGGCAGGTGTAGTTCTTGGTAGCAGTTACAGTGTTATTCCAGTGTTCATGGCAGAAATTTCAGAAAACCATAATCGTGGTGCATTAGGTTGTTCAGTTGGTATTTTTGTAGCAATTGGCATGAACTTTGCTTTAGTGGCTGGTCCCTATTTATCTATTTCTGTCTATTCTTTACTTTGTATTTCTCCACTACTCATTTTTGTCCCAGGCTTTTTTATTTTAAGTCCTGAAACGCCATGGTATCTAGCTGCCCGTAACGACGAAAAACGTTTAACAAAAAGTTTGTTAAAGCTAAGAAACAAAACTGTAGAAGAAATTCACTTGGAAATGACCAGTATTTTAGAAGTAGTGGTTGAGAATGAGACAGCTGCCAAAGCTGGAGTACGAGATTTATGTACCAATAACACTTTACGGAAAAGTTTGTTAATCTGTTTAGTGATAATCTGTTTGCAACAGTGTGGTGGAATTGCAGCAGTTCTTATATACATGCCAAAAATTTTTGAAGCTGCTAAAACTAATCTTGCTCCTGAAATTTGTGCCATAATTGTAGGTGTGTTTCAAGTATTTGGCACCATTGTCTCATCTGTTGTTGTAGATCGTCTAGGTCGCCGGATTTTACTTCTTGTATCTTCTGTTTTTACGTGTTTGACTCTAGTTACACTAGGACTTTATTTTCGTTTGAATCTATCTGACGTGGTGTGGTTGTCATGGCTTCCACTTTTTAGTCTTGTGGTGTATATTTTTACTTTTAATGTAGGTTTAGGTCCTGTGCCTTGGGTTGTAATGTCAGAATTATTTCCTTCCAATTTTACTTCTATTGCCGCTGCTCTTACAAGTAGTACCTGCTTTATGAACACGTTCATCGTCACAGTTACGTTTCCATATTTGTCTACATTTCTAGGTATGGCAAATTGTTTCTTTCTTTTTACTGTAGTTACAATATGTGGTGCTATATTTATTTATATGGTACTGCCAGAAACTAAAGGGAAGAGTTTACAAGAAATACAAAAACTTTTAGGCAGTTGTGGATAATTAGATAAAATATTGTCTCGTTGTTTGAGGTTTTGTGTTTACTTCTAATATCTTTAGGTGCTAGATTAAACGTAGATATTTAGTTTAACATGTACTGTATATGAAGAAAATACATAAAGAGTTTATTCGTTGTTCTATTCTACATTCAGTCATAAATATAAACGAAAAAAGTCGTCTAGTAAGCCGTGAAATTCATTATAAAAATAATTATTGCAGTTGACCCTTTATTTGACAGTTAACTTTTTAATATTAAATTTCAAAGCTTGCTAGATGACTTTTTTCTCAATCCAATGCACATATCCTATGACATTTCTAAAAACTAATCAATTTTTGCGACTTAATTTTAGGGAACACTTGCTAGACGTAGGAAATAGAAAATATATCTTAATAATATTAAAGACTGAATGAAAACATTGATTCAAATTAACTTTACTAGGACAGATACTCTAAAAAAAATAAATAAAAAAAAAACATATGAAATTATAATAAACTGTTCTAACTTTTGGAATCTTTTTTGATCAGTTGGTGCACCGTAACACTATAACGTTTATTACCTCTTAAGTTTAGTTTCGTCTAGACAATGACAACTAAAAGTTGATTACTTTTTAGGTCAACCCGAAAACGATTAATCAAGAAATGAAACGTTAAGGCGAGAAATAGTTTCAAATACACAAAGAATAAAGGATATGAGTGGTTGGAAGTTATGTTTCTCTAGGACTCATATTATTTACATTTTAGCCATAAATATTATGACGGAAATGTTACTTATAATTTATGCCATGTCTCTGTTTCAAAAAAGTGAAAAACGAGTATGCTCCTCTTGCAATCTAAAAAAAAGTTTATAAAACCACTATAACAAAACAATGAAGCGGTTTACAGTGAGAAATGTATTAAACGTCAATGGTGTAACTTTCCCTATTGTTACATATATTGGTTTTTGCATCCTAGTCATTGTAAAAATGATTTGTTTGCGGAATGACAAATGTGTCGCAAACCAGTCACTATCATATAATGAATATTTCAGCCGAATACTCTAAAATAATTATTAAATATGATTGGTACTAAGTCAGGCTTGATTTTTACCCCTTCAGTAATTCTGTTCCCAAACCAGCAATACATTAAGAGTTCGAATCCAGTTGCAATCAAGTAAGTAATTTCGTTACCAATATTTTGATCAATTGTCTAAAACCAGAAACATTTAAGTAAATTTAAACAAGTCCGTACAAAGATCTCAGAAACGATGAACATGCCGATTTAAATTATATTTAGTTGGCAACACCGGCGTTAAGAAGCGGAAAAATATTTCCGTACCTAGTAACGAATCAAGTAAAAAGAGGCGGCACATTTCATTTCCGATCACGTTGTAAACTTCAAAAAATTTGGAAAAAATACGTACTTCGCTTAGGAGATACAACGAAAAGCACATTTCACCCAAAGATATAAATGTTTGAATAAAAGTCTGCGTACTATAAATATATTCCATCTTCTCTGAAACTTTGAGTACGGTTTGTAAATGTTTAATACATTTAACCATCTCTGTATTAACTTCTGCTTGTAGTTCCGGTGGATCATGAAGAATAAAATCTTGGAGCTCAATGTCAATTTTTGTGCGCTTCATACATCGAAGTCTGAGAGTTTTAAAAGCCCCTTGCAAAATCTTAAGATGTGCACTTATACAGCTCATCAGTGTTATAAACAGTGAATCCAGTGCTACCAAATTATAACATAGTTAACATCATCTATATTAATCATGTATTATTATTAGGTACTTACCCACAATCATCCAAGCATAAAAAGTTAAAGCGATCATTGTGTATATAAAAGTGACAAAAAATTGCCACTTTGTGCCAGATCCAAAAGGTGAAACCGTATTAACTGGTTGCTGTTGTTTATATACTTTCACATCATTCTCAATGTGGTATTGGGATTCACTCATAAAAATAAACGTAAAGAGGCCGTTCAGGAACATACTCAAACAAATAGCGTTACAGAAATTTAAAAAGTACTTAGTCCATTTAAGTGCCTGCTTTTTTTCTCTTTCTATAATTTCCAAAGGATTAAACTTTTCGCATACCTCATAGTTGTAGTCCCCGTTTTGTAGAACATCTATTACACTCAACAACTCCTTTCTCATACGAAAAAAGTTGACAGCCTTGTATCCTAAGGACACATGATTGCCGATATCGCGTAAGGCCCGAAGAAACTCGTTCAAATTATCGAAACAGTAGTACAGGTAACGGATTTCAGCCGGTAGATAAGCGATAAATAGATAACAGAACCAGAAAATGTTGTAGCTGTGTTGGAGGTACTTCTTGCTGACTTTTGTTTCATTTGGATTATCGTACACCCAAAATCCAGTTAACTTCAAGAAAAGAATATTCGAATCAAAGTACATTGATAGAGGAGAATTTTTGTCTGGTTTGTCGGTCATGTTGCTGAATTTGACTTTACGTTGCAGGGCGACTTTATCTTTTATAAATTCGGGCTTGGTTAATGTTATTAAGGGGTGAATTATTCAGATTGGTAAAAGGAGAAGCTTTGCATTATTATAGATCGCGGTATCTATACTTACGTGTGAAGCCTAATAACAGTAATATTGGTGACGGTCGTCGAGCTCAGACTGGGTAGTTTCGATTACAAAATTATAATGTAGCTGTGGAATTTTTAACACCCTGTCACATCCGTGATCTGATGAATATATTATGTTAACGACATTGTATGTTAGGACTCTTCCTAATAAAAAATGTCCGTTTTTTATTTATAAGTATGAATTTGAATTTATTTTTATATTTGTAGCTGGAATTTTATTATAACATTTTTGTAAACAAAAAATTGGGGGGGTAAAACACTAAGAATAATTTGCCTGGTCATCCTTACCAACAATTTAATGACGTCATCGAAAAATGCTGCTAAATAAATTCTATATAATTTTGTAAAATAAAATAAGTTTGGTACTAAAAAGAAATGAGATATGCGAAATAATAATAATATTCATGTCTGAACCATTTTACAAAATTTTACATTATTTTTAAAGACAACACGACACATTAAATAATTTAAATATCATGGTGATACTTAAAGCCAAGTTAGTTATTTGGAACTACAGAGTTAGATTCATTGAATAGTTCTGTGGATGAAATTGGATCTCTAACGTAGGTGGTCCACGCAAAGAAAACACGGTCAAAATATTGAAACAATTATACCACCATACAAAGATTTTAAATAAAAAAAAAGATAAAAATAATGACCACCGGCGCTAAGGACGACAAACCAAAATAACTGAGAAGATTTGTGTAACAATTGACATTAGAATTCACCGCTGTGTTTATTATATCTAATTGGGAAATGTCAAAAAAAATCTGTCATTTTTAGTAATTTTTCGAGCTTTAAAACGGATATTCAGATTTTAGGTTAGTTTATCTATTTCGCTCTATTGAGGTTTGACAGCAGGCGCGGATACAGGATTTCGTTTAGGGGGGGGGGGGGCAATTTTTGTACGATTTTACTTATCTCGCAGAAATTCGTTCTAAACAAAAAAAATTATAAAATTTTAGCTAGTATACTCTTTTTCACATAACATGGGTGACATTTGGTTGTTTAATTAACTGGAAAAAAAGGCGGATTAACGATTTGTTCGGATTAGCAGTTTTCCCAAAAATCTGAAAGGGAATTGAATAACAACTTCATACACAGTTGAAAACAAACTTCAAGAAATAAACCTTAATTTGATTAAACAAAATTAAAGAATTCTTAAGCAACAATGGATAATAGATACATTTTAAAAAAATATTACTCCGTGACCATAAACACGCTATCTTTTTGAAATCAACACGTCGGGATGTATACCTTGAATTTTTTCAGAATTTTTAGATTTTTTCAAAAATAAAATTTTCCATTATATATTTCGACCCATCTCGACGATTTTCGAAAATTAACTAAGTACATTTTCTTGTAGATTTTGGGCCTCAGAAGTCACTTCTGGCTTCATTTCTTCGATTACTTAAACCATTTTTCCAGATTCGTCCAGTTGAAATATCGCAATTTTTAAAAATTTCGAAAAATTCGAATTTCACCCGGAATTTTCCGAAAATATTACTCGGTTACCATTAACATGCTATATTTTTGGAATCAGTACGTCGGGATATACATATATCCCTGAATTTTTTCAGAATTTTTAAGGAACTTTTTCAAAAATGAAATTTTCCTCATGCAAATTTCGACCCATTTTCGACGATTTTCGAAACTAAACTAAATACTTTTTCTTGCAGATTTCGGGCCTCATTTCTTCGATGACTTCAACCTTTTTTCCAGACTTAGTTAATTAATTCAGTGCATTGAAATCGTAATTTTTAAAAATTTCAAAATATTCCCTGCAACATATGTAGAAAGATCTTGCGTCATTTTTGCAAGTAAGTGCGTGTTTCCAAGTTCAGTTCAGATTGCAGAGTTTTTGTTCGGATTAAAGAAGCATCGACTTCAAATAGCCTCTGTTTGGATTACTGGATGTTCAGATACTCGTGAATTCGGATTATAGAGGTTGTACTGTATTTATAAAATGAAATTCGATTTCAAAATTTTGAAATTGGTCAAAATAAAGTACCTCGGTCGTGTGTCAGGGGGCGGCAATTGCACCCATATCAACCTAATAATAATTAATTACCCATTTTACAAATAAATGACAAATTAAAAAAGTTAGTTGACGTTGTGAAGAAATTTAATTCTTATTTTTATTGAACAATTGTACATTAAATTTAAAACAGAGACATTTAACAAAACATTATGAAAATGAAATATGAGATGTTCGAAATAAAACATGAAATGTGCGGAATGAGAAACGAAGATTTGCGAAAGAAGAAATGAGATATGTGAAATGAGAAATGAGATGTGCGAAATGAGAAATGAGATGTGGGAAATGAGAAATGAGATGTGCGAAATGAGACATGAGGAAAGAAATTTGCGAAATGGGAAATGAGACGTTCGAAATGAGAAATGAGATGTACGAAATGAGAAATGAGAAATGGGATGTGCAAAATGAGAAATGAGGAATGAAATTTGCGAAATGGAAAATTAGATGTTCGAAATGAGAAATGAAATGTGTGAAATGAGAAACGAGAAATGAGATAGACGAAATGAGAAATAAGATGTGCGACATGAGAAATGAGATCTGCTAACTGAGAAATAAAATATGCGAAATGAGGAATGAGATGTGCAAAATGACAAATGAAATGTGCGAAATAAAATATGAGATGTGCGAAATGAGAAATGAAACTTAGGAAATGAGAAATGAGATATGCGAAATGAGAAATGGAATGTGCGAAATAAGAAATGAGGAATGAAATTTGCGAAATGAAAATGAGATGTTCGAAATGACAAATGAGATGTGTGAAATGACAAATGAGACTTGGGAAATGGGAAATGAGATGTGCGAAATGAGAAATGAGGAATGAAATTTGCGAAATGAAAAATGAGACGTTCGAAATGAGAAATGAGATGTTCGAAATGAGAAATGAAATCTGCGAAATGAGAAACGAGCAATGAGATGTGCGAAATGAGGAATAAGATGTCTGAAATGAGAAATGCGACGTGCGAAATAAGAAATGAAATGTGCGAAATAAAATATGAGATGTGCGAAATGTGAAATGAGACGTTCGAAATGAGAAATGAGATGTACGAAATGAGAAATGAAATCTGCGAAATGAGCAACAAGAAATGAGATGTGCGGAATGAGAAATGAGATGTCTGAAATGAGAAATGAGACATGCGACGTACGAAACAAGAAATGAAATGTGTGAAATAAAATATGAGATGTGCGAAATGCGAAATGAGACTTACGAAATGAGAAATGAGAAATGAGATATGCGAAATGGGATGTGCGAAATAAGAAATGAGGAATGAAATTTGCGAAATGGGAAATGAGATGTGTGAAATTAAATATGAGAATTGCGAAATAAGAAATGAGGTGTGCGAAATGAAAAATGACATGTGCGAAGTAAAATATGAGATGTGCGAAATGACAAATGAGACTTGGGAAATGGGAAATGAGATGTGCGAAATGAGAAATGAGGAATGAAATTTGCGAAATGAAAATGAGACGTTCGAAATGAGAAATGAGATGTTCGAAATGAGAAATGAAATCTGCGAAATGAGAAACGAGCAATGAGATGTGCGAAATGAGGAATAAGATGTCTGAAATGAGAAATGCGACGTGTGAAATAAGAAATGAAATGTGCGAAATAAAATATGAGATGTGCGAAATGCGAAATGAGACGTTCGAAATGAGAAATGAGATGTACGAAATGAGAAATGAAATCTGCGAAATGAGCAACAAGAAATGAGATGTGCGGAATGAGAAATGGGATGTCTGAAATGAGAAATGAGACATGCGACGTACGAAACAAGAAATGAAATGTGTGAAATAAAATATGAGATGTGCGAAATGCGAAATGAGACTTACGAAATGAGAAATGAGAAATGAGATATGCGAAATGGGATGTGCGAAATAAGAAATGAGGAATGAAATTTGCGAAATGGGAAATGAGATGTGCGAAATGACAAATGAGATGTGTGAAATTAAATATGAGAATTGCGAAATAAGAAATGAGGTGTGCGAAATGAAAAATGACATGTGAGAAGTAAAATATGAGATGTGCGAAATGAGAAATGAGATGTACGAAATGAGAAATGAAATCTGCGAAATGAGAAACGAGAAATGAGATGCGCGAAATAAGAAATGGGATATGCGAAATAAGAAATGGGATATGCGAAATAAAACATGGAACGTGCGAAATGGAAAGTAAGATTATGAAATGAAAACTGAGATGGGCGAAGTAAAATATGAGATGTGCGAAATGATAAATGAGACGCGGGAAATGGGAAATGAGATGTGCAAAATAAAATATGATATGTGCGAAATGAGAATTGAGATGTGCGACATGAGAAATCAAATGTGCTAAATGAGAAACGAGAAATACTCAATGAGCATTTAAATGTGCGAAATGAAAACTGAGATGTGTGAAATGAGAAATGAGGTGTTCGAAGTAAAATATGAGATGTGCTAAATGAAAAATGAGATGTGTGAAATGAGAACTGAGACGTGCGAAGTAAAATATGAGATGTGGAAAATGACAAATGACACGTGGGAAATGGGAAATGAGATATGCGATATGAGAAATAAGATGTGTGAAGTGAGAAATGAGATTGACTAAATGAGAAATGTAATCTGCGAAATGAGAAATCAGAAATGAGATGTGCGAAATGATAAATGAGATGCGTGAAATGAGATATGAGATTTGCAAAATAAGAAATGAGGTGTGCGAAATGAAAAATGACTTGTGCGAAATATAATATGAGATGTGCGAAATGAGAAATCATACACGGGAAATGAGAAATGAGATGCGAAATGAGAAATGCGATGTGCTAAATGAAAAATGAGGTGTGCACAATGAGAAGTGGGATGTGTGAAATGAGAAATGATATGTGTGAAATAAGATATGAGTTGTGCGAAATACGAAATGAGTTGCGAAATAAAATATGAGATGTGCTAAATAATGTTATTTCCCATTTAATCCCATATTTGTGGGATATGAGAAACGAGAAATGAGATGTATCAAATGCGAAGTGAGATGTGGGAAATAAGAAATCAGATGTACGAAATGAGATGTGCGAAATGAGATACGAGAAATGCTCAATGAGAATTTAAATATGTGAAATGAAAAACGAGATGTGTGAAATGAGAAATGAGGTGTACAAAATGAGAAATGAGAGGTGCGAAATGAGAAATGAGATGTGCGAAATAAAATATGAGGTGTGCAAAATCAAATGTGGGATGTGCGAAATGAGATACGAGAAATTCTAAATGAGAATTTAATTGTGCGAAATGAAAAATGAGATGTGTGAAATGAGAATGAGATTAACCAAATGCGAAATGAAATGTGCAAAATTCGAATTAAGATGTGCCAAGTGCGAAATAAGAGGATCCAAATGTGAAATGAGCAATGTTGGTGCGAAATAAAATACATATGAAATGTGCCAAGCGAGAAATTAGAAATGCGAAATGAACGTTGAATGTTGAATGAGAAATACGAAATGAAAAATGAGAAATGTGAAAGAGTTTATAAATGCGAAACGAGGAATTAGAAATCCGAAACTGGTAATTTATTTACCCTACCTTGTTTCTATTTTAGATTTTGGAAAAAAAATTGAAATTTGTACAACATTTTAAAATTTATCTTGGAAACAACAAAAATGACTCTTGAAATTTTGCAAAACTTTATAGTAGGCATGGTAAATCGCTAATTGAAATTTATGCTTTTATCCCATCTAAAAACTAGATGACGTCAAATAAAAATTTTGCCACATAAGCACCATTTAAAATGTATAAAATATTATATCTATACTTGTGGTTTATCGATGCATTCATATTTTTTAGAATTACTTACACATGACGTTTAAAAAAAAAGAAATAATTTAATTCATTGATTAAATCAAAGACGGCTCATCTCACTTTCCTGAAATTCTGTGGTTTAATAAAACATACTTATTTTAATTTATAGGAGTTACCACCAAAAATAGCACATTTTTTTTTATAATTTATCCAAGGAAGTCAATATATTTTGTGCTTGAAGGGCAAGGAAAGTTCTGCCTCAATACCTTTAGACACATTTTTTGTATACGTCGAAATTCGTTAAATTAAATTCATTTTTAACTGAAATAAATACTGTATGACTGAACTATTATAATAATAAAGATTTTAAAACGATATGATCACGATCTTCTTCAAACTAGTTCTGTATAGACTTATGTTTTAAAATATCATAAAAATATGCTATTGTAAACCAAATTTTAGAAGTTTTAAGTGCTACATGTCATAAAATGTAAAAAAAATTGGTCAAATTTTTGGAAGATAAATTAGAGTAATAAAAATTGATGAAGCGTCGTTAGAGTGACACGTACAATACAATAACAAATAATTTATTATTTATCTATTATATTCTTTACAAGATCATCATCATCATAATGGTTTGATGATTAATGTATTCATTAAGTGAAAGCACAAAATGAAGAGTAATGTCATATTACTTTGATGCGTAACGGCTTGTACAGTTTTTACTTTCTTATTATTTGTGTATAATGAAATAATATGATACTAAATTTCGTCTGTCTTTCCTTTATGTTTCTTTTACTAATATTTTTTGTTATGTGAAATGTTGAGCATTTTTTTATGAAGCGGTGTTTAAAGTCGATATGAAGATCTTCCAAAGTAGGTCGGTGTAAGCGTTTTTGTTTAGTATTATTATTATTATTTATTATATTTTATATTAATAAAATGTGCGTTCACAGAATATTTTTATATACAATTTTGGTATTACAAAAATTATAAATGCAAGTTTTGATAATATATTTTGTTTTAATATCACTTTAAAGCAGTTTTTTTTAGTTCTGAAGTCTACTGAAATTAGTTGCGTGGTTTTTGCTGTATTTTATATTGTACAGGTATAAGAGTTCAATATTCTCTTAAATTATGTTGATTTGTTCTTACTGTATTATTTGTTCGATTAAATTTTAAGCAACAATTTTACGACATCCCCTTTATTGGTTTTAAGTGGACCGTAAAATGCACATTTCTTAATTATATTACCACACCACAAATTTTTCCACTGTTGTTTTTTCGGTGAACTGATGCCCATCCATATGACCTCTATCTGCCCAATATTTGATAAATCCTACTTTTTGTGGCGACTGCACCTGCAGAACAACAGTTTCCCCATCTTCTGGGGCGGATGCGAGTCGAAGTGGGGTTCTTGTTGATCGTTCAGCTCTCAACTGCGGGTCAGATGGATTGTGACTGTGAAAGTCTATAGACGTCGAAGTTGTTTAATATTATTATGCAATATAAACAGTGAGTAGTGCCATGGTCGTGATCCTTTTTTGAATTCGTGTAGAAAGTATAAGAAAGTTGAGCGGAATATCACACAGTAAAATGGTATGTCTAATTTAGGGAATCGGGTTAAAATTTAGCATTTTTGCAATCGATCGAATTTGGCAGATGTGATCGGCAGCTTTGGTGGAAAGTAAGCGAAATGAAATCATCACTTGACTTACTGGAAATTCTGAGAGGTGAAATTTTGGTTACCGTTTACCGGTAAAAATAAATTATAGAAATTCTTTCAGAGAAAATGTAGGTAACAGAAGCCGGTATTTGATTACGAACTGATGATATCATGTGTGGATCAAACGCTAAATTTTAGAACGGCTAGGAGATATTATCATTTTTTCTTTGTAATTTTATTTCACGTTCAATTAAAAATTTTGACAGCGTTCAATTATCGTTTTATGTATGATAAAAAAAAACTGTTGTAAATATTTTTTTTTTAATTTTTGCCATAAATAATGATTTTGAAGGGACATGTTTCCGTTAAGTGTCTGTAATGGTTAACTGTTTTGAGAACTATTCACTGAAATGGTGCTTGGGCGTTGCATAATTTATGATGTACAACTTATTTTTTTCTGGGTTATTGTACAGTAATAAAAAAAAGCTGAAAAACTTAAACGGTTACGTAAAATTTAGTATTCTCTTTCGACAGCACGCGTTGAATATTTTTTTTTTATTTTTTAGTAACTCTGCGTATCAACTTCTGCGTGTTTAAATATTTCTTTCTGTGTCACGTAAGGTTCCAACGAAATCTCGTTTTCGACAAATTGGCTAATAAAGCTCGTAAAAGTACAACCCAGTTTTTATATAATACGATAATTAATTTCAAATTGTTGAACACTGGGTATACTTCGAAATTTTGTTTTTTGTAATGTGTAAATAATTGTTTCCGAACTAAGAAAATTCAATGTACGTGTGATAGCTGTATGCTGGACCTACGTAAATGACCAAGGAACTGTTAATCAACTGTATTTTATGAAAAAAATTGAAAAAAAAGTAAATTATCCAATTTAATGAACGGTTCTTTTGATATGCTTACTGAAGCTATATAAAAAAAATATTTTGATATAATGCCTAAATAATTATAATCCATTAAAGAAACGTGTTTAAAACGTCCATAGAGGTTTTAAAAACTAAAATAAAAAATAGGGTAATAGCGAGAAATTTTTTAATAAATGGTTCTCACTCCCAGGGAAATTCCGTATTCTGTTTTATTGTTTAGAAAACAGTATTTACAGTAGTTCATTGTTGCTCAATGGTATATATCTTACATCTAATTGTATCCGTACAAGTAAATGAAATGTACAGTTGTTATTAGAGTTAAATGATTAGAACAAATACGTTCTTAACGTTACGACTATAGGAAAGTAAAAGTAGGTAAATTATTTTTTTATGGAGATTTATAAATAAATGTATATTTATGTAAGTGACCAGTGAATTAGATTAGTTCAGTAGTACTAACATATTTACTTTAATATTTACTACATAGTTAAATATTAATAATAATAAACTATATGTAAATTTATTTAGAAGTCTTGCCTGAATGCCGGTCATTTCCGGGTCAGTGTGGGGCTTAAAATAATAATAATGCATAACCTGGAGCAATAAACACACCGTTACGTACGAAGGTTAGTGATCAATTTTCTCCACTCTGGGATTTTTGGCAGTTTTGAATATAATAAATTATATATTAGAAACTATTTAGCTGTCCAAAACTATTTTAACATAAACCACTTTTTTCGTAAAACTCTTAAGTATAAGTATGATTTCGGGAAAAACTGTACATTAATAGAACGTATAATTGTACTTGACACACACATAAAATATTATTCATAACGTTAATTGATTTACTTCATTCTAGTTAATTTTAATTTCCCGAGCTTCAGCGTTTAGTGATCCCCAGAGTGCGAAGTATTGATGTGACTGAATTTTTGAATAATTTAAAATACTCTTGTATTTGTGATTTATGAATCCGCCTGAGTCTTTAATCTAAGCATCCAAATTTTTGCAAAAAAATCCGAATTGCATAGGTGTTAACCTTTTATACTAGCGGCACAGGAATATAGACGTTATCACAAAAAATATACTCTTCAGGTCGTTATGTACGGGGGTTTCGGCAGTCATAAAAAATAATAAAAAAAAATCTGTATGATGTAGATTACGAAAAAAACGTAATTTTATAAAAGTAAAATTGGCAACACTGCACGCACCTAATGCATGAGTACCTCGGGCTTACTTTCTTATTTCTTAGTACGATGGTGACTGAAATCCACCTTTTATTTTTTTTAGGACAATAACCATAGCCACCAGTAGTCATTAATCGTGCCGCATTATTATTAATCAAATAAGCTGCTATTTTTCATTAATAAATAAACCAAAAAAACCATTTAATAAGACATTTATAAATTATAAACAAAAATAAAACCAATCTAAGAAAGGAAAGGGTGGGTGGGCGGGGCTAGTAGCTGCTAAGATAAAAATGATTTTGGCTAATGAGCAACCCATTAAGAAAAGAGAGGGTGGGTGGGCAGGGCTAGTAGCTTCTGATTTTAGCTAATGAGATACCCCCTAGGAAAAGAGAGGGTGGGTGGGCGGGGATAGTACCTGCTAAGATAAGACTGATTTTGGCAAATATCCGTATCCTCTAAGAAATTTAATTAAATTATTGTAAGAAAAGATACTAGAGGCTGATTTGTATCTTTGTTTTGTACAGGCAAACAAATGTGTTTTTTAGTTGTTAAACGTAGTAAAAGAACCAGTTTTAAAATCGTTATAACTCCAAAATGTTAGGAGGAATTTTTTTACTATCTATCCCAGACTCACCAGTTAATTGTTAATCCGCCATTTTCCAGACACCCGGTATATAATTTTTAAAAAGTCGGGATTTGTTGGACTGTACTACAAGGGCAAGGGAAGTTCTAAATAATCTTAGACCATTTTAACTTCTTCAATGTCGTAAATAATAATTTTCAGTGACAGTTGAAAAGTTCCTAGATTAATTATTTTTTCAAATATCTTGTACTAGGCTGTAAAAATAAAATAATAAAATGTAAACAATTATCAAAGTATTAGAGTCTAAACTCATTTTCCACATTAAAGATTCATTTAATCTCCCTTTGTCTAGAAATGCGAAATGATAAATTAAACAAATAAGGAATGAAAAATGAGAAATGAAATGGAAATGAGAAATGTGAAAATTTATTGTAGATACATATATAGATTATTAATTTATATTTGAAATCTTTCAAACGCTTTAATTTTTCTTTTTATCCTTCAAAAAGTTGATGACGTCAAACAAAAATTTTGTTTCATAGACGTCATGTAAAAAGTATTAAATATTATGTATCTACACGTGTGGTTTATCAATCCATCTATATTTTTTATAATGAGTATATATTATATCTATATTATTACAGAATTGATTAAGTATATAGGGCGATTGTATTTATTTGTCTCTTTTTTTTTAGCTAATCTGGACATCATGTGTCAAGTGTAAATAAAATAACAATCACTAGTTAAATTAATAATTTTTAAAACGATTTGCGAAATATTTCAGAGTAGCCGTTTTTTTGCTGGCCAGTATGTTTTCGATTTTTACTAAAAAACTGATTTTTTATTTGTGGTTGAATAATCCATAACTATTTTTTGTTTTAGTTCATAGAAATATATCGTAGAAACAAAGTTTATAAATTATCCAAGGATTTCAGTTTGTATGTTTCAGGAGAAGGAAAATTCCGTTTAATTTTTTTTGTACATGCAGAAATTAATTGTATTTAAATATTAAGTATTAGGTTTGTTTTTGTTTTTAGTGAAATACTGCCTACTTAATGTATTTTTTTTTTGAAAAATGTGAATTGTCATATTATATTTTGTATGTACTATGCTTCAGAAGCAAGGGAAATTTTTTTTAACGTCATCAAATTTTGGGAAGGAATCAATACATAAATTTTTGTTAAAGTACATGTATACATTTTAAAATACTGATTATTTTCTAGACACAGGGAAATTTTGATATCCTAAAAACACACATCCATTCATGAAAATGACCCATGTGCAATAATTTCCGTAAGTTACACTTTTTTCGATGTGATAGGTTAGAAAATTTTTCTTATTTGACTATATTAGTCCACAAAAATTTCATTCATTCAAACATGTTTTAAGTTTCTTCTTGTCAAAAGATGACTACGTATATTAAGAAAAAAGGTAAAATATAAGCCCCGCCCACCCGCCCTATCTCAATCGTGATGAATTTTTTTATTCGTTGTAAACTGCGGGGCGGAGCTTAACTGCAAAATCCCTATTTTTCTACGAAAAATTACCATGTGAAACAAGTTTTTGACTAATCAAGTTGTTCAAAGAAAACTAAATGCCTTAAGTAAAAAAGAAAGTCAAAAGACAAGTCCCACCCATTCGTCTTGATCTCAATCGTGATGAACTTTTCATTCGTTGTTAGATCGACAGGCGGAGTTTAATTGCAAGATCCATGTTAGTCTACAAATACTTATTTACCATTTTAAACATGTTTTAAGTTTCTTCTTGTGAAAGGATGACTACGTATATTAAGGAAAAAAGGTAAAATAGTAATTGCTATGATAAGACTGAACAATATTAAGGGTAGTAACTAGAATGAAGAGGAAGAGGGCACATTTTTTTTGTTCTTTAATTTATATTTACCAAATATATATTTTAGTGGTTCCAAAAGCACTGTTTGTTTTTTCAAATCCAATTCTCATCCGAATGACTCGGGTTTAAGCATTGAATTATCGGACGTTTTAGATGAAATTTTTAAATTGAAATCAGTAGAAAGTAAAATAGTACGTTTCTAAAATAGTACGTTTCACTTCATATATATATTTTTTTCATCTAATATTTAAGCAATTTTTTTTAACCGTTTTTTATCTATTTTACTAGTTTTTTTTGTAAAATAAAAAAAAACAATTTTTGTCAACTTACTTTTAATGCATCGAGGTTTTTTTATACAAAGTTGTGGATTTCTAAAGATTTTGAACATGATTCCAGGGGATCCATATAGAAACTGCTGACTGAGATTTTTTCAGAAAATTAAAAAAAAATAAAATAAAAAACCTCTTCGACGTCAAAATTGGTCTGTTTTCTTAAAAAAATATATTATCAAGCAGATAAAATTAGTCGCTAAAATGAGAAGAGGAAGGCTGGGCGGGGCTAGTACTTGCGACGATAAGACTGAACAATATTAACGGTAGTAACTAGATTGAAGAGGGAGAGGGTGGGCGGAGCTATTGCTTGCTAATAGAAGATTCTGTAAGAAAAAGTTAAACTTAGCACCACCCACCCACCCGTTTTCTCATTGTTTTTATTCTGAAATAAGAAATAAATCTTATGACAAATAATACAACAAAAAAGTCACGATTAGCCCTTTTTTTACAGCGTAATTTCTATTCGTTCCCACTTCTGCTCTACAGAAGAAGATATAACTAAACCCGCCCACTCACCCGCGTCCATTTCAGTGATTAATTTTATCTACTCCGAAAGAAAGGTGGATTTTATATATAAATAAAATCAGTCGCTAAAATGAGAAGCGGGAGGGCGGGTAGGGCTAGAACTTCTTAAGATAAGGGTGATCTTGGCAGATGACATACCCTTAAGTAAATAGAGGGCGGGTGGGCGGGTCTAGTAAAATTGCTATGACAAGACTGAACAATATTAAGGGTAGCAACTAGAATGAAAAGGGAGCGGGCACATTTTTTTGTTCTTTAATTTATATTTACTAAATATAAATTTTGGTGATTCCAAAAGATTGTTTGTTATTTCTAATCCAATTCTCATCTGAATGACTGGGGTTTAAGGATTGGATTATCGGACGTTTTAGATGAAAGTTTTAAACTGAAATCAGTAGAAAATAAAGTCGTACGTTTCACCCCACATTTTTTTTTTCATCTACTTAAGCTATTTTTTACCTGTTTTTTCATCTATTTTAGCTACTGTACCATCTTTTTAAGCTAGCAGGCCAAGTGTGACGTTGAAGTTTTTTACCGCTTTTTTTATAAAATAAAAAAATATACCTGTAACAGGTAACAATATTGTGTATGTTATCAACATGTTAAAAATTCCCTGGATTTGATGGAACTTTAAATATTTAAACTTACAGTTTTCTCGTTTTATGTAGTGGCTTGACGAAGTCTTGTTAAGTATTTTTACATCTTTTAAATATCTTATTATCTAACTTTAAAGAAATCGTTTCCGCATTGTACTGTATGTCGTTGACATAATGCGCAAATATATGGTTCTTGCCGCTAATTGCTGAGGTGTGTTGTATTGACTACAAATTCTTTACATTGAACCTTAACAAGATTGGAAAACAGTTAGAAACGTAGACAAGTCCAAGTTGCTGTAGTTATTATCAACGACTGCATTAAGGCTGTGCATACGTGATTCTACCTACCATCTGTGCATCATACTGTCAATACCACCATATTGGTTTTAATTATGATTTTTGTCCACTTACGTATTAACAAGGCTTACACTTTTCTTGCCGTTCTTGATAATACTTTTCAAATGAATGCATAATTGCAAGTCACGAGTGCACATTTACGTTCACTTATTATTGTGCAATTTTTTCTTTTATAATTAGATATGAGTTAACTGAATCGTTGCGTGACAAAGAAAATATAAATTAAACTCGATTTTTAGAAACTGTTGTCATTTTTCAAAATAACAGTCATTCTGAAAAATAATATGTCTAAAATGTGTCCTAAATAAAGTTTCACGCCACAAGTTCAAGGTAAAAAATTTAAATTTATTCCGGAACTTATAATTGCTTATTAAATATGTAAAAAACGTCCGTCTTTAGGTGTATGTTTTAATGGAGCACGGCGCGACGTGTCTATCAGCGATTAATCTTGTTAAGCAATCATTTTTTGAAAGTTGTTAGTATTGCATTAATTTGAAAATGTAAAGTACGCAATTACTGTGTAACCGATTAATTCTTGTTTGATATCTTTTTATTGCTGCGTTCTCATTAGGTCTTCACTTAAAGGCAGACTGTCCGCTATGTCAATGCAATCAAGATGTATAACGTCAATTTTTTGAGTAGGAAGTATGTCACCTGAACACACCAATTATTTGCGGTAATAATACATGGCTCCGTCATTTATCTTTTACTGAAAAACTGTTACAACATTTAACTTGCTGGTCTGTGTTAACCTTAAATGTTATTTCAATTATGTGTGTCACGCTATTTAGACACATTAGATGTTCTCGGTTAGTTATCACCAGAAGTGGGTAAAGATGTACGGTTTTATTTTGTAACAGCGTTTAACTTTCAAGAAAGACAATAGAATGAATTCGATATTTCCTCAAAGAAAGTGAAAGTGATGAGTAGGGACAATTGTTATCATGGAAAGTACTCAAGTATTTTGTCAAAATAAAAAAGAATGAATGGAGATGTTAAGAAACTTTATGAATTCAGGTTACTGTTAATAAACTGGTTGACCTAGACATTAAAATTGCTAATCACACCTTGCACAAAATGAAAATAAAAAGAGAAAGTTCTGCCGATAATTTTCATCGCCATTAATAAATCAATTTGATTGCAGATCATACGAACGGTAATCTGGTTAACCTTCCTCCGTGCATTGCACTGTTATCCCAATCAACTAAAGTTCAATATACTAGATCTCGATGTTTCAACACCGGAAGAAGTAAACAGTCTAGAACGTGAAGAACCTCTAGGACGCTCCATTAACCCAGAAAATAGCCAAAATAGCTTCGAAGACACCGTGAAGACAGTCGAGGAAATTATAAAATCCAACCCGGCACTGCCGCGACTAACACGTGGCGAAATTCTTGATTTACTCGAAAACATCACCACCACAGATGAGCAAAAAGCGGAACTTCTTGGCAAAAACAGAAACCCAAAAGCTGTTATGGTCGTCATGCCTTACACTCCATCGAACGACAAAAACATGGAAGATTTATACACAAAAGCTCCTGTGACGCACATAATTGGGGCCGAGCCGTTCAGAACGAAGGAAGAAGTTGACAACGACAAACATTCCAGAAGACGACCCCCGGTTCAGTTTAACGACACCGACAACGATTTAGCCAAAAAGCCGCTGCCTCCTGATGAAAAGAAAAAGTATTCAGCTAGTATTAGCGAAAAACCTACGAAAGCAACGTCTTCGAGGACTCAAGTTAGAAGAAAGCGCCCACAAGCTACTACCGAAGTACCTCCGACGACATATCGTCCGACAACTTATCATCCGACTAGTCGAAGACCTGTACGAAGAAGAACTACAACAACTACCACGACTAGTACTACTACCCAACATCCGAATCATCGTTACACACAAGACTTTGTACCCGGCGGAGGCATCAGAATCATCGAATCGCCAAAACTTAATCCAACAAAGCCACATCGAAATGATATAATATCCGATTTAGAACTTCAAGAGAACATCAAACAAGAAGTGGTGATGCGACATGACGTTCCAGTTGCAGCTTCTTTGGTTTCTTCATTCCCAAACCCCATTAGGGTGACCACAACGCCCCAACCTACAACTTCGAAACCTTTAATTGAAGAAATTAATTTCCCTGATAGTTTGAAGACAGTTGTGAAGGATTTAAATTTGGAAGGAGTATTGAGTCCAGAAGCTGAACAACTAAGAAACAAAATAGAAGAGCAGAATAGAATAAAACATATTTTAGCGTCCATTGGGGTGTTACGTGAAACTACTACAACGACCACCACGACTACAACTTCAGCACCAAACGCTGAAAACATCGCTGAATCTTTGAGTCCAGAAATGCGTGATTTGTTGATGAGTTTCGGGTTGCTTCCAAATCCTAACGAGAAGCCTGTTGAAGGTAACAATGACAAGTATTTTCCTGAAAAAGCCGAAGTGAAACCGGAATCTTATATCGGTTTTAAACCTCTACCCGACCACGGACCAAGTCGTGATGATATGGACGCCCTTCTTGCTTCATTTGGCCTAGGTAGAAGTGCCAGACAAGAAAAAGCGTTGAAAGTTATTGATAACGATAAAGAAGAAACGTACAATTTTGACATGATTCCAGAACACCTCAAAAGCGTGATTTCGGATTTGGGAATTGAACATGTGAAAAGAGAGTCAAAGGAAATTAGAACACCCACGGTCGAGAAAACTGTGGAGAAGCAACACGTGTTTAGTCCTGATACCCAATACGCAACTGAAGAGGAACTGAAAAAATTGGAGAAACTCATTAGTATGGTGAAACAGTTGGAGAAAATGAACGGTACGGTTTCAGAAGAAGATTTGCATAAAATCGATTTAGAAGGTTTGAAAGAGTTGGTTGCAAGTTTGAATGGTTATAACGAAACTTTTAATTTAGACGAGTCAGATACTTCCCCGCAGCCAACTGCTTTTGATGTCGGTACTTTGGTGACTTTAGATCAGAAAGAAAATTTTCCTGATCCCACTGCTTTTGACGTCGGGTTAGTAAAGAATGAAGTTAAACGTCAAGAAAGTAGTACTAGTACTACTAGTACTCCTACGGTCACTACGATTGTGACTGCTGTTTCTGAAGCAGAAACTCCTTCTTTGAAAGATCTGGAAGAGTCATTTGGTGGTCCAACAGAAACCACCACAGAGCCTCCATTACCAGAAACTACTACAAGAAGGACCGGTTTTTATTATTTAGTCGACTGGAATACATTTTTGGATATTGATGATACCAAAGGAAAAAGAGTTAATTTAAGATTCCAGCCTACTATTGGTGATCCAAAGCGGTTCTTATCTGTTAGTGTTCCTTAGCAAGACATTCTTTGCACTGTAATTTATTGCTTATTTTTGTATTTAATACCGTAGTACCTAGAAGTTTTATATTGTGTATATATTGTTTTTAAGTATATGTTAAGCACAACAAATAAAAGACGGACTTTTGCTGGTAACTCTAGAAGCTAGGTGTATTTAAATATAGTTATTGTTGATATTGTTTCTGCAACACTTTTCAAATACACAGAAATCGAAAGTTGAATGTGAATGTGAAACTTTATAATTAAAAACACAACTAGTGGAAACTATGTCCGTAGCTCCTCATATGTAATCATTAATTCCACTTCAGTGCTCTATTTTATAATAAGTACTGTAACGGCATAGAATCCAAATAATCGAGCGTTCCATAAAAACACACAAACTCATTACAAAAAATGACCCTCGCACTTCAAAAAACCTCGCTTCTCGTTTTATTCCTTCTATGTTTATTGGATGTGCAAGTGTCTCCAAAATGAAAATTGTGGTCTCAGTTTTATTATTAAGTTTTTTAAAAGTGTGTGTGACTTTAGAACATGTTTGGCATTCTTATCAATATGATCCTACTTACAAAAGTCGCCAAGGTAAAGACATGCTTTACACAAATCAAAATCTTATTAATTAATTTTAAGAACTCGTGATTACAAATGTTGCTTCTGATGACACTTTCAAAATGGATTATGTGGTGACAGACTGGAAGATCTTACATGTCGAAAAATTGTGTTACCTAGTTGGCGTCATGGAAAACAAACTTGTCGTTGTTACTTTAAAAACCAACGAAGACAAAACCGGTTTGTTGCAGAAATCATATACAATAGGTGAGCAGAAAGTGGTTAGAATTTTTTCACTTAATGCATAATTGTTACTAGATTTAGAAAGCAAAGTGGTTGATTTTGTTCTTTTTCAATTCTGGAACAGTACTTCTCTAAATATAGAAGTAATAGTAGTTGTTGCGACTCAGAACCAGCAGATATTGTGGTATGCTATCAACGAGACGAATTCTGTAATAGATTTTTTAATATTTGCAACTACAACGAAATGTAATAAATGTTTTTCAGTTTTTATCTTGGTCCTGGCCTCTACTTAAAAATATAAGCCACATCAATATATTCCAAATAGAATATGATTATCATCTATTGATAATAAACGAATATTTGTCGCACAAAACTGCTGATATCTATAACTTTATACCAAACAACCCCCCGAACTTATGGTAAGAAACTGTAACTAATATTTTATTAATAGTCACTTAAATATTATATTAGGTTATATCAGACACTAAAACTGAACGAACTTGCATCATCATCTGCTGTCACTACTCTCGGAGCAGATTTTTTTCTTGCCATTCCTCAAAAATCGCTTCATACTCTTTTCACATACAAACTAAGTAGTGATCACTTCGTATCCTTCAAAAATATAAGTAGTGAGGGTATAGATGACGTCATTGCTTTCCACGAGGGTCAGAAATCTTTCCTAGCTGTTAATGGATTTCATGCTGGAATTTATCGTTTCACAAAAAAGGATCTAGTAAAGGAAAATGTTATAGACAGTCAATTAGACGGAGTGAATTACTGGTTGCCTATGTCGCTTACAGTTTACGGTGATACCATGCTTTTAGCCCAACGTACTTTGAATCATGGCTTGCATACGTCCATTGCGGTTGAAGTTATCACCTACGACGGTGACAAATTTGAAGAGCACGAAGACATTCCTTGCTTATATTTTGGGGAAGAAACTCTGGGATTATCGTGTTTACCGGATGAGGTAGCGCACGAAGGAATTAGAGGATCAGTGTTCATCTCCTTAGATGATGTCTTAGCATTGTTAATACCGCGCAAATACCGCTCGTCTGAATTATTTTTAGTCACGATAGAACTGAGAAAAATTTCAAATCCATTACTAAAACAAATTGAAGATCTTAGTTTAGAAAAACAACGAATTAGTGTATGTGTGTAGATGATTTAGTGTTTTTGTATATTACTGATCTTGTAGGACTTAATGTCGATTCAAGAAGATCGGTACAATAAATTTATTTTACGAGAATCGTCTGATTTTTCAGTAATAAATCGTCAGTTAAATGAAATAGAACAAGACGTACAAAGAATGAAAGAAGATATGCTTTCTGGTAAAGCAAGTCCACATTATAGTACTGTTGTTTTTAATGGAGTGGTCAAAATACAAAATAGCGGAACTTTCGATGAAGTTCGAGTTGAAAAAATTAATAACGAACCAGTTGACAGTATTCTTGAAGATATAGTATTGTATGTTACATTCTATATAGTATGTTGTTGGTAAATATAGAACCTTTTTTCAGAAAAAATAACATTAGTGTTATCACCAGCCCAAAACGTTTTGTAGAACTAGAAGTTGAAGATCTTAAAACCGAAAGAGTAAATGACATCGATACTAAAGATTTCACATTTTATACAAAGAATGTAGTCATAAATGGTGACATTTTTTTGACAAAACCAGTGAATGTACACAATAATGTAACTGCAATGGAAGTCAATGGGTTAGTTTTTGAAGATGAAGTCATTAATGAAGATTCATCTGTTGACGAACTTGTGTTTGAAAATTTGGAAGTGCTTGGTAGCACCTCAATGGCAAAGTTGAACAATCGGATGCTTTTAATACAAGCTAATACGGAAAACTTTACTCCGGATAAATTTATCTATGAAACACTTTTCATTCCACATAACATAACAGTTGACAAGGTGAATGGTGAAGACTTTAATTCGTTCTTAAAGCAGTTGTGTCTCAAAAATATTAGAAACTATATTCCAGAAACTGTCAAAGTGAATGGGGTATGCTAAAGTTTAATTATTTTTTCTATACTTTAAAAGTCTATTTTGTAGAACGTTGTAGTTTTAGAAAATGCAACCACAGACTATTTGAACGGTTTGAAATTTCCTGGCGAGTATGTTTTTGTGGGCAATAGTTTTCAAAACATAACAGGTAACGATATATTTTAAATGCCCAAAATTCATCGTTCTATTTCAGGTACTAAAAATTTTACACATATAACAACATCTGAAGTCAACTGTGGCGGAAATGTTGACGATATTTCTATTAGCACACTCATTACTCGTACCACTAAGCAAACAATTCCCGGAGTAACAACTTTTAAAAAGCTGAAAATCACCGAAAGTTTGAATGTCGAAGGGAACATAACGGGAGAACATGCTAGCAAATTTCTGCCAAATCCAACTTTGCTTGAAACAAATTTCATAAAATCTAAAGTCCATTTCAAAAATTTGCAAGTGAATGGAGCAATCGTTGTTACTCAAAATTTCAACGGGAAGGACTTGGAATTCCAATTGAGCGACTTGGTGTATGAGAGTGAGGAACAACCAATCATTGGAGGAATGAAACAATTTCCCGAAGGCTTCACTGTTAGAGAAAATTTGTTAATAGATTCTAACAGTGTCAATAATATAAGTCTGGATTCTATTGTCACTAAAAATTCTGAACAAGACTTAAACATAAGCACTATAAGAGGAGTAGTAGCTTTTGGCTCTGTCGAATCTGAAGGTCTCTATGATTCCGTCGATGTTAAAAAATTAGACGAAGAACTGGTAAAGTTATCTGGGGAACAATATATTTCTTCAGTTTTGATTTTCAAAGATGACGTTGTTGTTAACAATTTCGAGGTTATTAAGAGCTTTAAAAATTTAAGCAGTGGTTTGAGCAAAAATGAGAACTTTTCAAACCCTAGCATCAATGTTGACAATATTGTCGTAGAGGGTAATATTTATGGCAACATTAGCAACTTTGACTTGACGAAGTTTGAAAAGAGTAGAATGAGTTTTACCCAAAACCAACGAATGAATAGTGAATTTTTTGTGGACGAACTTGTCGTCAATAATATGGTGCCCGGAAAGATTAACAACATTGACGTAAAAGACTTTGAATATAAATCCTTAGTACAAAAGTTACGAAAGAAACTCTTAAAGGGACAAATAGATGTTAAAAGTAAGTTAACACTGCATATAACACAAAATGTTACTAAATTGTCATTTAAGACTTCCATGTGGATAACTCCATAGAAATAGAAAAAATTAACAATAGCAGAGTAACCAACTTAGGAGGGGCTTTTTGGCGACACGATGTCAACAAACACAACCTCGGCGACCTCATTTTTACCGTAAGCTAGAAATATGATTTAAAACACATTCCACTATGATTTTCAGAGTGATGTCTTCTTTGATAACGTATTAGACATTGAAAAATTAAGCGGAGTCGATTTTGATCGCTACATAAACAACATTGTCTTCAAAAACGAAACTAACGTCAATTTAACCGGCAGAAAAAGCTTCTTAAACGGCTTCACTGTGAAAAAAATCATAGAAACGCAAAAAATTAACAACATTTCGCTTTCAAACGTCTTGTCGAAACATGGAACGCAAGAAATTTTGGGTCCTGTGACCATTCAAGGTGATGTTTCTTTCCAAAACAATGTCACCATTTTGGAAAATATTAACAACGTTCCGGTTGAAGTCCTCACTGAGAAGTACGAATTTACTGGCGCTCAGTATAAAATTAAAGGTGAGTATTTGGTGACGGTGTTTTTATAATTCACTTTATTTTTTACTTAGGTGATGTTCTTTTTAATCGTTTGGCCCACGTTCTTCACCTTCAGATTGACGGATATGTCGATGACAGGCAAGTTCAAGACGTAGTAGAAGGAATAGTTTATTCAGGTGATGACTTTACGTTGGATGGTTTGGTGACTTTTGAAAATAAAGTCACTATGGATAAAAATATGAGGGTGAATGGAAAAATTAACAACATTGACTTTCCGGCGTTTGTTACGGATATGGTGATGATTACGAAAGATGCACTTATAGAAGCTCCTGTAAGATTTCTAGACGAAGTATTCATAGAAGATCAAATTTTGTTACATGATAAGCTAACAACACACGATTTGAATGGTGTAGATCTCGTCGTTTGGAATAATAATAATACAGTTTTTATTAATCAAGGATATTTGAAAGGTTTGGAAGCTTGTAATCCGTGAGTAATTTAAAACTGAAATTTACAGGAAATTATTCATTCGAAAATGTTCGAGTTGTTGATACGTTGCATACAAAATACATCAACAATATTAATATGAGAACTCTGATTCCCTTGCGGACACAACAGGATCTTCCAACGTTGAATTTTAACGAAATTAGTTTATTTAAAGATGTGGAAGTGGGGAATTCGACGAATCTGCGTAATTTGAAAGAAGAATTCAGCAATTCGGTTTTGGTTCGTCTGGAAATGTTTTAGTTAAGCGCTAATTGAGTGTATTAAATTTCAGATAAACTCAGACCAAGATATCGATTCAGACGTCGAGTTTATTGGCAAGGTTTACATTGAGGGTGATATGGAGCTATCAGGCACAGTGAACGAGGTTGAAACAAATAGCTTCGTTACCACAAATACCGATCAAGAACTGAGTGCGATTTATAACTTTAAGTCGAAGGTTAATTTAGACCAGAATCTGCTGGTTGATGGATTAGTGAATGGGATAGATATAGATAAATGGGCTCAAGATTCTGTTAAAGTTGTGTCTCAATTTCCGCAGAACATTAGTAATAGTTGGTCAGTCGATCCAGAGTTAATATTAGAGGAAGATTCCACAGGTAACGGGCTTATCAACAATATTGATTTTAAGAAATTTAGTCAGGAAATTCAGGACAAAAGAAATCATAAATATCAAGTTGAAGAGGAATTTATAGTAGGTTTGAAAATGTTTTCCAACAATTACCAATTTTAGTTTTTTTTAGGAAAATTACATCAACATTTGTAAAGATCTAACTTACATGCACGATAAACTGAAAAAGCAGATTTATAAATTTGACTACTTAGAAAAGCTTCAGACTTTAAATTTTCATAAAAAAGTAGAATACATTTATAACTATTTTTACCGCAACGCCACTTATTTTATTGTTAATGAAAAAAGCAACTGTCTGTCTTATTTATTTATTTTCGACTCGCGTTTTAGATACATTAAAGATATCCACTTTGGACCGATTGCTCAGATTGTTTCGGTCCGTTCTAACGATTTGTTGTATTTAGTTATACGTAATCAACCCTTTTATTCCACTTGTAAAACTCAAGGCACTAATCTTTGGCAACTTAAAGATGATAACTTTGAGGTAGGTTTTGTAAAATGTTTTTAATGATAAGATTGATAAGTATATGTTTTTTTTAGAATTTGTTAAACATTGAAGACCAAGATCTTCTACAAGAATCTTTAGAACCCGGAACTTTCTATGGATTGCGCAAACATGTGATAACCGAATATAAAATTTTACCAAATTTAGCCTCTGCGATAAGATACAGAAAGTGGGAAGTGAGAGAAGGTTAGTAAAATTATTTGTCAATTTTCTAGTCACGTCATACTCTTGTTGAATGGGATAAAAGCAAAAAATAACTAAATTTATTTTAGATAACATGGCGTTTGTGCCCAGGGGATTAGCAACGGGTCTATCCTTAAGAACCGGAAAAAAGCTGATCAATTTACATCGTGACTACCCAACATCCGATAGTTTCAGTCCTGAAACCGAAGAAATTATTATAGGCAAGTACACAGAAAATTTCAACACGTATTTCCCTGGCCGTAAAAGCAACGACTTGGTTGTAATGAAGGTCGGGATTAAAAGCAATAAAAAGAATTTACTAGCCGTAGCTAGTCATGAAGAAACAAGTGTTAAAGGGAGTTTAGACTTTATTAAAGTATGTAAAATCGCTACAATGTATTACAGTTAATGTATGCATCTATTCACAACAGATCTACGAAGACGTAATCACAGGAAAAGTCTTCCATAAAGTTCCAGCTTATAACCCATCGTCTCTAGTGAGTCTAGAGTTTAATAACGGCGAAACTCTGCTGGCGTTCATGGAAGATGAAAGCGCCTTGCAAGTTTACGAATACAAAGGCATCGAGGGCTTCAAACATAAATTATCCGCGAAATTGGAAGGATCTAAGCTGTTTGCGATGACTTTAACACCGGGTAAAAACGAACATAAAGTAATAGGATTAGTCGATAAGAACAAAATTAGTTTTATGGAAGTTGTGATGTTAGGAAACCAAATCGAAGGAAATTTGAAATGTTCTTTGTAATTATTTGTAATTTGTTGAAAGTAATAAATTGTTTTTCCGATGCGCGATTATCTTGTCTCACCCCTGAAATTGATGACTCAGCGCCAAGACAGGATTAAATTTCCGGGCTGGCGCAACCCCTAAAACAATAACCCTGCTGATAAGTCACTTCAAGGGATTCGTGGTGTTTTTCACACAGTCTGAGGTATTCGCTAGAAAGACACTCTCTCGTTCCACTTCAGTCGGTTCAGGGGTTAGTAAACCCGTTTAATTTTTCACAGGAAGGAAGCTTGGACAATTTAATTTAGGTGAAAATTCCTGTTGTGCGTACTAATTAAAACATTGTTTTAATCGGTAGAGGACGTCTGAAAAAATCGACATTCTTGGTCGTATGGCCAGATACGTTCCACAGAACTTATGAATCATGCAGGTGTAAACGTAAGACGTTACTAAAGCGGAGTGTAATTTACGTGACTGAAGGAGAAAATTTGCCGTACAGGCCTGAAACGAGGAATCTGAAGTGGATTTACAAGCGTCATGTGTTTGTTGTGTGCAATGAATCGTTACCTTTATATTTGTTGTTGAGTTAATTTTCCTCCAGAGCAGGAAAAAGAAATATAGTTTGTCCAGTTCTGTAATTGGTTTCGCTGAGCTCTGCTACTAGCAGGTGAATTATTTACTTTCCTATATCAACAGTTAGAACTTTGGTCACATAAAAGGCGACTACAACGAGTTGATATTACGATAATAGAAATATTTTCATTTATATTTCCGGCATTGATGCAGGCTAACGAAAATAAAAGGATTATTTTAACGATTGTCTCATTTTATGCATTGTTGGCGTTTCACAGCTCGTAAAAGAGGAAAATGCAAGTTTCACGTTGTTTTGGTTGTAATCTCCAAACTTCCGTCACAATTACTACGAAAGTTGAAGCAAACTGTAGGTGCCGCTATCATATTTTTGCACTCATGACCACTAGAGTACGAAAAAATAAATCTCCCACTTTCACTTGTCTGTATATCTGTCTGTCCGCCCTCTGCATCGTTTCTTATTAGCCAAATAATTTTCGAAAATGCTGTACCGATTGTTGTCAAACTTTATATATATTGTTACATTGTACGGGTGTATTACACGACTAACTATTACAGCAATTATGTACAGAATAACTTCGTGGTTCACTTGGATGAATTCGCTCATTCGCTGGACTCGGCTTCTTGACTGAATGATCCCGTTCCTGAAGGTGACCTCCATTTAAACCCGTATTCCCTTCTTGATGTTTCCCAATCGAGGTCTTTCTGGAATCCATCGCGACTTCCGTTTCCAGGTCTTTCCTTCAGCGAACGGGTTTATTTCGTAACAATATGTTAGGAATATCGTACAGATGTTAAAAGGGTAACCAAAATTTGGCTGATCATTCTAACAATCTGATGACGTCCCCACTATTTAAAGTGTAGGAAATAAGGCACTACTACACTTGTGGTTTATGAATCAAATTTGATTTTGACCCTAGGCATGTAGATTTTCGTAAAAAAAATCTATTTTACTCCATATAGGAGCACTCACTGCGGTGAAATCCGTGGCCGTATCTTAAAAAATGTTGAATCTATTAACGCGAAGGTCGCTGGTCCAATTGTTTCATTGGTGACATTTTTTTATTAATAAAATCAAGAACGATTAACTTGATTTTTGAAAAATTTGAGAATACACTAATATTTAATAATAATAATAATAAAATAAGAATTGTCCTCATAAAAGCTATTTCAACAAAATATTTAAAAAAATTAGGTTTATCGCAGCTTAATTAATAATTTTAGTCGCCTCCTCTGCTTTAAGGAGACAAAATAGTTAAAATGTTTGTGCTTATTTTGACCAACCTGCTTGGTACGTGTTTAATGGTCCCATTTTTTCGATGAATAAATATAGAGGATTGAAGTTAAGCATGTCCTGATAACATATTTTTTCCATTGATTATCTGCTTTAAGTATATTTTATATTGTCTGTACTAAATTAAAAATGAAATTTAATTATTTTTGAAGAAGCTCTATTTGTTCAGCTGTACTTATTGATATCTACTTAATTTATTAGAGATGGGAAAAACGTCACCAAATTTGTACAGTTATTTGATTACTATACGCTAAAATATATTTCTAAATAAGCACAGTGTTCTGTTTTTTAGCCATACTGAGGATTTTTTTTTAATGAAACACCTGTATAGTCTGACATATTCCCATTAACCTTTTCTTAGATTTTATAACCACGTTTATTTTTGAAATTCCGATGCAACGGAAGGGTTTACAAAAAAATAACAGTAAGGTTATATTTTACATCTGTGTTACAATATTTTGTGCAGAGTTAAATAAAGGCACGCGCTTTATTGTGATACTAATTAAATCAAATTTTAATATACAGGGTAGTTAAAAAAAAATCTAAAACTTGTGTCTCTTGAGAAAGTAAAATATCCAAGTTCGATCAACTTTAAATATAGAAAATATTTAACAAAAAAGATACAGAACAAAAAATAGAATAAAATGTAGGGTGAAAGTGAAAAATCGATATTTGAAAATCGTAATAATAACTTTTTTTTATAAACACTCTATATATGAGGATTCAATTTTATTTACACTACAAAAAAGTGCGTACTTGTATTTATCTCCCCACAAAATATTATAGCACAGGGTTATTACCCCACTGTGACTTTTTATGAACTCTTCCATTGTCAAAAAAATTCAAAAACAATGAAATAACGTGGCAATATGGCATCGGAATTTCAAAAATAAACTGTGGTTGCAAAGAGGTCGATCAAAATATGTAAAAAAATAGAGGGGTGTCATTAAAAAAAAAAACTAAGTGTGCGTTCCGCTTTAAAAACATACCACTTTGTATAGTCAGAAATAATTTTGGAGTATACTCCCCAGAGAACCGTACAACATTGGTCTTTGTTTTTTTTTCTATTTCTAATAATGATATATCGAGGAACGCGCAACTAGTAACTTACTCTGTATATCTTATATGTGTTTGATATATTTTTTAAATTACTCTATACCGGGTGTTTGGAAAATGGCGGTTTAACCCTTCAGTACGTTCTGTACGGGGGTTTCAGGAATCCCAAAAAAATAATAAAAACATTTTTTATGATGTAGATTATGAAAAACAGGTAATTTTATAAAAGTAAAATTGGCAACACTGCACGCACCTAATGCGTGAATCCCTCCGGCTTACTTTCTGATTTCTTAGCAACGATGGTGACTGAAATCCACCTTTTATTTTTTTTTTAGGACAATGACCATAAAAACCAGTAGTCAGTAGTCATTAATCGTCGTACATTATTATTAATAAAATAAGCTGTTATTTTTCATTAATAAATAAACCAAAAACAACATTTAATAAGACATCAATAAATTATAAACAAAAACAAAACCAACAATAGAATCCATTAAAGGATAACCTATAGCTATACCGTGAAATTTAAAATGGTTTTATGTTGGATTTAAAGTTTGTAGTTTATGCACAAAATTTGGATTTTTAATTTGAATAAAATTCAAAAAATGTGTTGATTAGATAAATAATATTAATGAAACATAAAATTTAATCAATAAAATCATATTTAGTAATTAATTTTATTGATTGCCAATTTTACAGCAAATACAAAATTTGTTTATACATTTTTGTACTCATTGAATAACCGCTATATTCATTTTTTTTATGAAATTTTGCATCACTTGCCTTTATAGCAAAAAAAATTCTGATACGTAAGTACTGGTTTACATTTGGTTTTTAATTCCACTACACTGACATACAGTTGTCCCAAGACCGAACCATAATACTTATTAAATTAAAACACCGTTGAACCACTAATACAACGACTTTAAACAAGAATAACTTGTACGTCACGACCTCGTGACAACCATTTACGTACTCAACGTACTGTCAATTCTCTGCTGACAAAATTTGGTTCCAAACTAGGAGAATTTTTTGCGTTACCAACTGCATTTGCTCCAATCGTACAACAATGGATGACGATACTATGTATTTCTAGGGGCTATAGCATAACTAACTAAGCACTAGAGAAGATACTCAAAATTTATGCCTTGTATGCCTTGTGTATAAGCAAACTTGTAATGTTTCCTAATTTTAATCATTTTTTGTAAAAGTATTTGTTAAGATAAAACTGATTTTGGCAAATAACATACCATCTAAGAAAAGAAAGGGTGGGTGGGCGGGGCTAGTAGTTGCTAAGATAAGACTGATTTTGGCAAATGTCATACATACCCGCTAAAAAAATAGAGGCGGGTGGGCGGGGCTATTACCTGCTAAAATAAGACCAAGTTTGGCAAATGACATACCCTCTAAGAAAAGAGAAGGTGGGTGGGCGGGGCTCGTACCAGCCAAAATAAGACCGATTTTGACAAATGACATACCGTCTAAGAAAAGAGAGGCTGAGTTGGTGGGGTTAGTACCTGCTAAAATAAAACCGATTTTGGCAAATGACATACCTTCTTAGAAAAGAGAGGGTGGGTGGGCGGGGATAGTACCTGCTAAGATAAGAGTGATTTTGGCAAAAGAGATACCTTCCAAGGAAAGAGAGAGCGGGCGGGTGGGGTTAGTACCAGTTAAGATAAGACTGATTTTAGCAAATAACATATCCTCTAAGAAATTTTATTAAGTTATTATAAGAAACGACACTAGAGGCTCTAAAGTACTTTCAGATTTTTTTCAAATAGGAATACCTAGAACCTCAAGATTGTTTTAAATTAAAAAAAAAAATGGGGTTCCAATATTAACACAAAAATAGGTCAGGTCAAAATTTTCCAAAAATAGAACACCAAAGTCCCCCAAAATTGTTTTAAATAATTTACAAAAAAAATCTCTAGGGGCTCCCAAAATAGTATACCATGGGGACCTCCCCTGTATAAGCAACTCTAAAAAATACAAATGTATAAATATAAATTTTGATTAACGATTTACCATGGATACTTAGCAAAACCCTAAAACGTTTGCAAGATTTCAGGGCATTCGAGCTTTTAGATTCAAAGTTAAATTGTAAAATACTGTTATATATTTGTCACTTTTTTTCAAAAATCTGGACATTTAACATAAAGAGATCAAGACAGATTCATAAACCACCTTCTAAGTGTAGAAGTATGTTATTTTATAAAATATAGACAACATTTATCATCACATTGTTGATAGCAACTCTTAGACAAAGTGTTTTGCCATCTATGCGATAATCCTATCATATCGACATGGACTACAGACGGCAGGGAGACGACAGAAAGGCGAAAAACGAGCGATCTATATTTTCATACTCCAGAGGTCATGAAATATTGAGGAAACATAATACATATTTCCTCCTATGCTCTGGTAGGAAAATCTGTCGACATACCGCGTGATAACAATGACTGAGTCTGTTGTTAATCCTGGATTTTTAGTTGAAATTGGTATCATGATGTTTTCTATAATTTCTGCTTGTCAAGATTGACAGATTGTTGACATTTTTAAATTTGCCAGAATGTATGCAATACATAATCTAAATGTATAGCATGTCAAGATTGACATATCTGTGACAGAATTACTTCCGTTATACCTACATAAACGCAAGAATCAATTTTTTATTTAAAAAGCACTGCCAATAGCCTCAGTCGGTTCTAATCATTTAAAGGCAATTACATTTCAAAAACAGTATTTTTTGGGAATAAAAACAGATTTTTATCGTAATTTAATGCAAATGTCTAACTTGCGATAAACTGATCACATGTATCATAAATTTATTCACAGATTTGAAGTCTACACAGAACAGAATTATTAATTTTCTAGAGTTGACGTTTATATGCAATCAACAGACTCTCCATGTGTCATGACGTCGATTCCGTGTAGAAGTCAGTAACGGAAGTATATTAAAAATCGAACATTACAGTAAAATAAAAAAAAACTGTTAATAATATCTTCTGTTAGACAGCTACTAAAGAACGCGATAATAAATTGCACCATAACCTATTAAAACTTCTTCTTTACGTTTTTATCGTTGATATTCTTTAAGTTATGTCGAAAATGCGCGCACTTCTTTATATTTCTAGTTTCCAAAGCAATTTTTACTTTGCCGAAAGCAGGAAGTCCAGATAATTGATCTAATATTTCATCAGGAAACAATGATATATAATTTCTCAGTTTATTTATTTTGTATTAACTGTTAAGCCGTTAACTAAATAATTACACGAAGGTTTATAGTTTCCTAGACCATTACCTTGACCATTAAAGATTCCAGTTAAAAGAGATGAATAATTTTAATCAGTGTGTCTGACAGCTGCAGTACTACTTTAACTGTCGATTCTTTTAATATCGTTCCTTCATGTATACATTCTATGCATAACCGCGTATCATTTAAACACATTAGCCACATTTTTAATCTAGCGGATCGTAGAGTTATAAATCAACGCAACCGTTCAAGAAGCTTAAAAGCGAATTTATGAGCACAGTCTGCATATCTACGTCAACAGTAATGAATATACTGCAGCCCCTGGGTATTCGCTTAATTGATAAAATTGCATCGTCTGAGCCCCCCGGTGTCTTCCTGCATTCCCCTGTGTTTTAGAAAATTTGACAGCCGTCAGCAACGTGATCTGTCGTAATTACAACAAAAAGTCGTCTATGGAAACCGTTAATCCTTTGAAGAAACGAAATAAAAGAGACGTAAAGTTTAAGGATGTTGCAACGCTCCAGTAGCCATATGCACACCCAACAAACGGGAAAGCACGACATTTTCAGCGAACTTAATAAGTTATTTTCCGGCGGAATGTAACATTGATTAAACGTTTTGTCTCCACGATTTTGCATCTAATGGTTAATACTTAACATGAAGTTATTTCCATTTTACATTATAATTATGTAAAGCAGTTCAGTTCTGTGAAAGCTGTTGTTTGTAACAAGTACTAAACGTTGCTGAAAAACATGTCACAAATGTGTTGTTTGGATTAAATTCGAACGTTATGTTAATTTGTGGTGGGTGGTTACAACAAAACTGAAGCTGTCAGCTGAAACCATTAATCCCCCTGAAAAGAAATAAATGAGATGCAGAAGTTCAGGATGTTGAAACACTTCAGTAGCGACATACACAAGCTTTTTCTTTACTGGCGGCACGAGATGCAATCTTGTCTCATTTCAGTAAAATCGATTCAGACGTGCGCGAACGGTCTGGATTACTCCGGGCCTGCGCTGAAAACACATTGTTACAATTCCACTACAGTTTTCACGCACTTTTTCAGGGGCTTAACTGAAATAAGATTGTCTGAAAACTTCAGATCTTGCAGCAAAAATGAGTTGAACTAGAGGGCTAGACAGATTAACTAAAGGGTAATTTTTTTGAATTAGGAGGGGTTTGTGTGATGATAAGGGATAGAGACAGGGTGAAAGCTGTGGTGGAATTAGTATACATGATTGTACCGGACCCGGCCAAAAATGTTTGCGGTAGTGCAATGACCGGAGTTGGAAATAGTCCGGGTTTTCTGAAAGTTGTAATTTTTGATAACTTATGATTAAGTAGTGATCGATATGTGAGTTTTATGTGGTTGTAAAAACAGTGTATTCATTATCGTTATTTCGGTGTTGTGATCGCTGGAGTTTTTTCCGGTAAGTGATTAATCAAGATTTGAATTTTTTGTGGAACGCGTCTTTTCCGCAAAATTTTCATTGGTTAGTTGATGTTTGTTTTAAATTGTTAGAGTGACGGAAGTGAATTCAGTGTGTGAGTTTTTGAACCGGCAATCAATAAATGTAGCAATTTATTGCGGTGCATCAGTGCTGGCATAGCTGCACATGCAACTGCACTGAGTGTGGTATAATAAATTCATAATACTTCTGAAAAATCTGATAACAGTTTATGTTTATATAAAAGTAATCCGTTGTGTGGGTAGTATCAATTTCATTAGTTAGTAATAGGAGATAAACTAGCGTGAGTATATTCATGTTTGTGTCGATTAATTGGGTAGTAGGAGAACTATAGTACTGAATTAAAAATGAATCCACTGCAAGAAAAGACGTATTTTGCTTAAGACGAAAGTAATAAATAACTGTAAGTGGGTACGAAGTACGGAAAATGTGCATGTTAAAATTATGCTATGTGTATTTTGGGATGTGTCTAAATTCACTAATAAGAAAGCCAAGGTATTTCTTATGAATCATGAGGAGTTATTTACTGGATTATTATCTGTTACAAACAATGTGGTAGCATGTTAGAAATTTGACGGTTGTCAACAAATGGAAAAGTAATTAAAATAGATCGTCGTTGCATTCTTCAGTTTGTTTTAACAAAAACAACTTACATTATCCGTAGATATAATCTCAATTTGTATTTTTTTATAACCAAAGAGTATTGAACTATACACATACAGTCGAAGAATAAAAAAATATGTTTATGTTTTATGTTATTTTTTTATAAAAATAACAATAAAAAGTGCTTTAAAGTTATATATTGTTATTGATTATTGATTATTGATTATTTTTAATAGCACATCTGCTCATGTTGATAAAAATTTTACAAAAAATATTTTGGAATGCAATCTTTCTGTTGTTTTTCATTTGTACTATTGATGCGATGTAGACCATAAACTCTGTTCTTAAATGTCATAAAGCAATATAATTTACCCGACAACATAAAATGGATCCAGGTTTATGAATAATAAATCAGTTCTCGTAGTTTTTTATACACGTGAGAATGTCAATCGCTAATTCATGAATATATTAAATTGAAAATATTTGGGAACTCTTGTATGCAACTTAAGTTTTTTTTTTATTTGAAGCAAAAAAGATGTACACAACACCTGAATAAAAGTTTATTTTTATCAGTAGTGTACATAAATAATGATATATATTGATTGAAACACTAATATAATCAATATTGGTAGTTTAGTATATGAGATTTTAATTGAAGTTCATTTTCAATTCTCGTTGTTTTTATTATTTACACTATTTATTAATTAATTAGAGAGTATTGTGTGCTTCCTTTTAATTTGTATAACACGTTGTGTAAAAAATTGTCTATTAGATATAACACTGAAAATAATAATAATATTAATAATAATAATAATAATATTAAAAGTTGTTACGCAGAAATATAGTGTTTTAATTGTTAATATTCATTACTAAGTATTCACAAATTATCTATACAAGATGATTATTAATCTTTCTATTTAATTGAAAACTGTTTCTATATTTAGTAACACACAACATCTGCTAGCCAACTATTATTTCCTGTAGCACTGTGTAAATAAAATCGAAGATTATTTATTTATTGTTGGGATATTTGTATTTATGAGCGTTTTAAAGAAAACGATATTTATCGCTATACTAAAAATTAATAAATAAAATGAAGTATAAAATAATTTTATTGCGTGTACGGCCAACAATTTACAAATATAGGCATAAAATGAACGACGTGTTAAAAATATGTAATTTTTTTTAAGTGATAACTAAATGAAGTTAAAACCACTAACCAAAATTTGTGTGTTTTTCAACCTTAAAATAATTCTTGAAATTTTTCTTGCTTTTTCTTTTCCTCTAATTTATTGAACCACCCATATTTTGTATTTCATCTATGAAGTATTTAGTGTTTTAATGTCTCAAAACCTGGGTGTACATATTTAGGAAGTTATTAATTTAAAATCCTGGTACTAACATAGTTTGTTGTGATTAGTGTTAATAATTCTATACAATTTTTGACATAATCTTAAAGAATTGTATTTTAAAATGTTGTCGTGTTGTTGAAAGAAAACTCCATTTATTAAGAAAAAGAAACCAATAATTAAGCCCCACCCACCCACCCCTATCTCAATTGTGATGAATTTTTTATTTGTTGTAAGTTTCAAGCACGGAGCTTAATTACAAAATTCACATTTCTCTACGAAAATTTAAACCATTTTAAAGATGTTTTAAGTTCCATGTTGCCTTTAATCGAGTCCGTCAACCGACTCTGTACTTTTACGTTTTTTCGACTTTTCATAACCCCTAGAGTACGAAGAATTAGGTCTTCCGTTTCCGTCTGTCTGTCTGTCCGTCCGTCTGTTCGTCTGTCTGTTCGTCTGTTCGTCCGAATGCTTTGAATCTTGGAGATGTTTTAAAGTTATCATACACATGGTAAATTTTTGATCAAAATGTATTTGCTCATTATCCCTAAAAAATTGATGACGTCATCTCAAAATATTGCTCAATAAATCCTATCTTAAATGTGCAAAATATGATGAGTCTATGTTTGTGCTTTATCACTGCATTAATATTTTTTAGATTTGCTTATACGGGGTGTCCCAACAAAATTAATGAATGCGTGAATTTATTTTATTGATTTAATCAGGAACTGCAAAACCGAATACTTTGAAATCTTACAGACATTTTAAAGTTATTGTAGGCATGGTAAATTCTTAATCAAAATATGTCTGTTTATTGCCCCCAAAAAAATTGATGATATCTTCTCAAAATTTTGTTGAATAAATTCTGTCCAAAATGTGCAAATTATGATGAGTTTTTACTTGTGATTTATCATTACATTTATATTTTTAGGTTTGCTTACACAGGTGGCTCAAAAAACTTTATGAATGAGTCAATTTATTTTATTTTTTAAATTAGGAACGACTCATTCCATTTTCCTAGAAAATTTTGGGAATACAATCTCGAAACAACTTTAGACCAGTTTTTTTTTCTTAATATACCTAGCCTTCTATTCACAATAAGCAATTAAGCTCCACCTCTCGACTGACAACGAATGAAAAATTCTTCACGATTCAGTTAGGGGTGGGCGGGTGGGGCTTAATAATGCGCTTTTTCGTTCATAATAGATTTAAGACTTGTTCTTGAAAAATTATACAGGGTTTTTCATAGTCATTATTTTATTAGAAACACGACTCGGTTATGCGAAATAACGTGCAATTCTTTAAATTTCGAATCTTAGGTTGGTTTTAGAATAAAAAGTCATATCGTTAATAATACAAATTTTCAACGTGTTCTCTATTTTAGGTTGCATACCATAAGATCGAAAAAATATGTCAATACGCTTTGGATTTTTATTTATTTTTACTTCCCGATCGTACGTCAAGGAAGTATAATCAACCAATCGATTCTATCGGGCGACTTGCCACTTTCTTGTTTTCTTGACGTTTCATGACCCCTAGAGTACGAAAAATGGAGTCTTACGTTTCCGTCTGTTGTCTGCTGTCTGTCGTCTATGTCAATTTTTATTACACAGATAATCTCCGAAAAGACCGGACCCATTGTGTTCAAATTTTGTGTCTAAAACGCTAATTCTATTTAAAAATGATTTAAGTATCGTGTTGTTGAAAGAAAACTATTTGTTAAGAAAAAAGGCCAATAATTAAGCCCCACCCACCCACCCCTGTCTCAATTGTGATGAATTTTTCATTTGTTGTCAGTTCAAAGGACAGAGTTTAATTAGTTACAAAACCCACATTTCTTTACAAAAATTTATCATTTTAAAAATGTTCCAAGTTTCTTGTTGCTTTTTTTCTTATTGCCCTTCTTTTTCTTAAAATACGTAGCCTGCGAAACTGTCGACGTAGAAGACATCTTTTCTTATTTGTTATGTCCACGAGTCCCGAAATACAAAAAAATAGTATAAAGAAAAATGGACGAGAACAAAATTATGAATAGAAATACGTAGCCTTCGTTTCATAACAATAAACTCAAAACATGCTTAAATTTATAAATTTTTGTTGACAAATACCAAATTTGCAATTAAGCTCCGCTCCTGGAGTGACAACGAATGAAAAATTCATCACGATTTAGATAGGGGCGGGTGGGTGGGGCTTGATCTTGCGCTTCTTTTCTTAATATGTATAGTTTTCTTGCAACAACACGATACTTAGAACATGGTCCACATGGTAATTTCTTGTAGAGAAATAAAGATTTTACAATTAAGCTCCGCCTCTTGGCTCGCGACTAGTAAAAAAAAATAATAACAATTGAAATGGGGGGGGGCTTACATTGAGCCTTGTTTTTCTTAATATACCTATAGTTATCTTATACAACAATATACATACTCCTATACTTGTGATGTACGAATCCGCTTTGAGTTTTTTCCCTAAACGTCTAAATTTTCGCAGAAATATTTCCGAAGTACATATAATAACATTTTACTACGAACACGGGATATACGCCTTCCTAGAGTCGTGGGTAATTTAGGAGAACGTCAGCCTGCTGGCTTAATTAATAATTGTAATCCTGTTTCGAGGAGACACTCTTTCCAATCAAACAAATTGCTACGTGACATTCTTTCAATGTATAAACATAAACATTTGAAATTAAGCATGTTATTAATACATTTCTTTGCTGTGGTTATCTGCTTCAAATATTTTTTAGACTGTCCGTATTTGTGCGGCGACTCTCTGGAATTTACGCTCCCACGGCGCGGGGGTGTTATTTATGTCGCTGGTTTTTACTTTATAGAAGTTATCACAAACAAAAATTGCAAAATAAAATTTATACCATTTTTCAAAGAAGCGAACTTTTGAACTTCTGTCGAAATAAATTTCGACCAATTTTTTTCATCGAAAAATTGATGACGCGGTATTGGTTCCAGTTCAAAGGGAAATTAGGTGTTAATAACTTCACAGACCATTTAATGG